TTGCTTGAATTTGTATGCAATATATGTGGCACTTTAATGAATATTGTTTACATATACAGTCGTCAACAAATGCACGCAAAATCTGAGTGTACAGAAATGCTGTTAGAACTGACACTAGCCAGCCGCATAGGAAAATTTTGTTGAATAGCTTTTGGAATTTTCCGAATTGATTGACAAGATTTCAGATTTCGTTTGCTATTTTCTAGAGCTTAGATAAGGTAAAACTGATAAACGGAAAATACTTTGGCTGATATCAATGATAAGCTAGTCGAACTTTTTATATTATCGCTAAAAAAAAACTTTTAAATTTAAAATACTTGATAACTTATCAATTTATGTAAGACCTAACTAAAAATATTGAACATCTGAAACTTCTTTCACATTATCCTAGGCATTATGTGACCGTCTTGAAAGTATTTTTTTTATTGTAAGTCATTAGAAAGTCTTTTGTTATTTTTTAAGTTTTAAACATCCGGAATGGGTTTTCTTCAATAAAGCAATTAGCAACTCCTTAAAAAAACTTAAGCAAACGCCCCTTTTCACTTAACACTCTCTTACTTCCGAAACTCAACTCCTCCGCCCAAAACCCCAACCCAGTACTCCCCACCACAGCCGCCCAATCCATTGAAATGCCTACTCTATTCCATCTACGCAGTTTGCGTAGCAATTAAGAAACTTCTCTTCCTAGCAACCCGGCGATTGTTGACTTATTATTTTACAGCATGTCATTTCTTTATTTAAATGTGCATTTAATTGCTGTTTTCTCCGGCTGCGGTGGCTATTAAAAATATTCCTTTCTTTTTGTTTTTGTCTTTTATAATTTTTAACGCGGATGTTTGCTTCGTTTTTTGTTAAACAATTTGTTGTTGATGCGTTGCATGCCGTTCGTCAAGCTTATGGCTGGTTCCTATATAGATCGAAATCTATATGGCTGGCGTGTATGGATTGACAGAAAGCGCTTCCTTCAACAAGCGCATGAAATCGATACGTTCCGTTCATGTTCTGCTCGTTTTTGTTTTATTTTTTACATTTTGTTCTGCGGGCTCTTTAGTTTTCCCGCTCCTATTTTTTGAAGCCCTTGAATTTTTTCAGCAATGTGTCATTGGCAAAAGGAGATTCAATTGTGTGTCAAGGCTAGGTGTTTATACAATAATATTAATACAGAAAATGCTAGCTTCTTTAACAGCGAAAAAATATATTGTCTAATAGCGTTTTTTAAACCAAAATCATACAAGTTATGTGTCCTACAAATAATTTGTATTTTCTTTGCCTGATTATACCTATTGATTTATCAAAAAGTATACTGAAAAACTAATGTGGTTTTGAATTTTGCTCTTATAAAAACCAAAACGATTATCCGCAATTGCTACCCTGACAGTTCCGCGACATAATTATGTAAAGTTTTGAATTTTATCGAGGAATTTTGTTTACTGTTTACTTGAACCGACTTAATTCGGTTAGGGGGAAAACGCAATGCGCAAAAGGTAAGAAAACCAACCCCACCCGAAGAAATGCCGAAGTAATCGAAAACCACCGCGTGGCAAGCGAAAAAGTATCTACAAGAACGTCTCTCCAAAAAATAAAAATATAAAGAAATAAAACAAAATAAAAGAGCGAGCGGGAGAGAGGGTGAGCGAGGCGAGTGATAAACAAAAGTGTCGTAAAGTTTTTGCGTCGCAGTGGCTAAAAAAACAAATGTATGTATATTTTTTTAAATAACAAAAAAACCGGCTGGCTGGCAGTTCAGAAATTCAGTCAAACATTTTGGCAAATGAGCAGGCCCAAAGTCAAATATATATATATACATAGTAGAAGTCTTTGTAAATTGATGAGAAAACAAGGGGGAAGAGTGGTGCGTCAAAACAAACAGAGAGTCCAAGTATCTCAGTATCTCTGTATCTGGCAAATGCGAATGCTGATGGACAGACGGCCAGATACAGATACGGATACAGAAGAGAGTGCAGAGCCGCTGAGTGGGTGCGCAGTGAGAGAGAGAGCGCTCTCTTTGACTCAAAGCCTCTGCCATTTTATATAAAATCCGCGCTAATTGCACGCAGACGTTCAGTCGCCAGTTCCGCTCGCAACACGCCACATCGCCAGCACAGAATTGGCCTCAGTTTTTATATACTAAAATAAAAAAATACACTGCTAAAGCAATTACTTTTAATACCACCTAAAAAAAAACAAGCCAACCAGAAACTCACTCGTGAATTATATTAATTCGTTTAAGCAGACGCAAATCGCTAAAAGCAGTAAATTGAATCGAGAAAAGCTCCAATATCGCAAAAGCTCTGCGCCGGTCTCGAAAATCTCACATAAAGCTAAGCAGCGAATTCAGTTATTGCTAAACTTTTGCCATACAAACACAGCCCGAAAAAGGCCAGAAAAAACAAGAAAGAAAGAAAATAAGTGAAAATACAGAAATACATTTACTCAACTGTGATTCGACTGAAATATTTGAAAAGTGCGACGACAGTGGGAGAAGAAAGTCTCCGAAAAAAGATACCAAAAATATATTATTCTTATAACCCCCGATTAAACCCAAAAATCCAACGCCAAATATGATGGGCACAATGTCGCTCCGCCAGCCAGAGAATTGGCTCTACGAGATCTGGCAGAAGGGCTACGACAGCCCCTGCTATGTGATGGTGCCCAATGCAAAAGTATGTATACCTCGCAAAACCCCTTGAAAAAACCCCCAGTTTACCTTGACTAGATGCAATTCTATTGATTTTTTTTGAATTTCGTGAGGCTGCGCGCGTTTTCGTGGCGATTTGCTGGCGACTTTTCAATGTCGTCTAAGGCAACCCAAAAAAAAAAAGAAACGTTATTTGTGCTGTCACTTGTCAATTTATTTTCGCTGAACAATTACTAAATCTTAGTGGAAGAAATGAGACGCCACTTCCTTCGCTTGAACAAAAAAAAAGAGAAGAGGAGTTGGTCCTTTGTTCTGTACAACAAAGGAATATAATTTCTACCTAAGGACCCCCGACAAGTGTACAAAAAACCTCAACGCGGTGGCCGCCATGTTTGTTTGAGAAATGCAACCGAAAAAAAAACGAACTGAGAACTGCATGAGACTTCGAGAGCAGAGATACCTCAGGAGAAGCGCGTGACCTGACCCCAGAAGGCACCAGCCAACCCAACCCGCTTCTCCGGGGCAGAGGTCTCTCTTTTCTGTGGTGTGTGTATCTCGGCCCGAGTGTGTATAATTAGCATTTATTTTCTCTAAAGTGCCTGCCCATCTATTTCACTTACCTGAACCGGAGTTATCTTTTTAGGAAGTAACCCCTGAGCCAGCTTATCTGCCGAGATTTTCTCTAATCCCCTTGAGATGGTGCAAAAAGCTGATAGAGCCAAGAAAAGTGGTAGAAAAACAGAAATCGAGGGGCACACCTGCCTTAGTTTTTGAACAACAATTTAATGATATGGGCTCTCCCTTATATGCCATATTTTGCGTTCGTTTATTTTTGTGCTTTTTGCACCTCATTGTTAACAAGTCGAAGCGGTATCAACCGGTTTGCATTCGTTAAATGCGGTTCCTATTGTTGTCAGTTGCCTTTTTTGTTAACCGATTCCTGTCTGCTACGAGATTTATCAAATCTTCTTTTTTCGTTGACTTCTAATTTTGGTAATTTTTTCACTTATTGATTGGTCAAGCGAGGGAATGTGTGTGGGTCTAAAAATATATTTTTGTATTTTTATAAAATTATTTATTAGCTTGCCTCGAAACAGGCGAAAAACGTGCAAAATATAATTTCTTACGATTGTTTTTGGCACTGGTGCCAGAACATGCGACTTTCCGATGGGTTTCCATGCCTCATGCTCATGCTCTTTAGATATATTGCTACTGTATATAGTAACACACTTGAGGTATGACTAATGAGTATGGCGTCGCTCGGTTCAGAGTTCTTTATTTAATTAGATCTTTATTTTGGGCATTTTTATTACTTTTTCAACGTTTTTTCATAATGACATGCCGGATTTTTTAATACGCTTTTACGTATCCATATCCTTTTGCTGATTATATATTTTTTCTTTGCAAGATTTTCACTTTCAACTTTTATTTTTTGTGGTGCCTGAAAAAACCAGGCCACAGAGACAAGAAAATGTCGAAAGAAATTGTTGAAAGTGAAGACGACGAAAGCATACGAGCTGACTATTTATAGAGATCGCAGTGGAGAGTCGAGAAAGAAAGAAAACTCTTTCGTGAAACGGAACTGCCGCAGGCAGCCTTTCCTCCCCCTTTTTCCGCCCATGAGCATTCGCTCTATTGACATTTCACATCAAACATGGGGGCAAATCATACGAACACGTGCCGTTAAATGCACAGAAACGAACAAACGCCTGTGCGATTATTCTATTCGCCTGCACGCGTTTTCCTTTCGACTTTCCGCCTCTTTAGTGGGTTTATTAAATTTTCATAAGGTGCATGGGGCAGCCAGTCAGGTGAGCCATGGATGTTGTGTGCTGTTTCGGTTTGGTTTCGTTTTTGATGACGTGTTCTGCAGCTGTGGCATTGACAATGACACGAAAGCATTTGATTCTTCGGGGAACCATTTACATTTACACGGCAAATAAAGTGAACACGCCACATTGGGCAAACATTGGCCGCCGCTGGCAGAAAATGTGATTTATGAATGGCCAGAGAAGTCGTGGGCCATGTTAAATCTCTGCAGTGAGTCAGCCCCATGTTAAGCTCTCTTGCAAGTGGCAACAGGATGTTAGTTGAGCTGAACTAACAGTGGGGCACTGCAAATCCGCTGGGTAAATAGAGATGATTACAAAGGGCTTAAAAACCGCAGATAAAGTCCCTTAAATTGCGATGTGGTTCAGTTAAAATGTGATTGTTTTTGTCATATACTAGAACTATAAAAAAATATTGCAACATTGCTAATTTTAGCTAGACATTAATTGATATCATAAATATTAATAAAGCTAAGTCAAACCCAGAGTTCAACAACTTACTTATGAATACTCTGTCCTCTCTTAACTTTCAGGATCTGGTCAAGTCGCATCTCATGATAGCGGTGCGCGAGGAGGTGGAAGTTCTGAAGGAGCGCATATCCGAGCTGATGGACAAGATCAACAAGCTGGAGCTGGAGAACAACATTCTCAAGTCGAACATCCCGCAGGAGACGCTGCAGCAGTTGCAGATGCAGCTCCAGATCGCCGGCAGTCAGCAGCCAGCGGCAGTGGCCGCCCCCCGGCCACGCCCGCCATTCAGGCGGCGCCGGCGGTACAGAGTGCCGTTGCCGCTGCCGCGGGTCAGGCAGCGCAGGGCGGCCAGGTGGCCGCCGGAGCGGTAACGGGAGTTGCCACCAGCCCAGCGTCCGCAGTGGCGCCCACGACCATTCCCAACGGCAGCGCCGAGAACGGCGGCAGTGCAGTCAAGTCAGCGGTGGCGGTGGAGCAGCAGCAGGTGACGTCAGCAGCAGCGGTACCCACAGCAAACGGTCCCATGTCCTAAGCTGTGCTGTGGCCCAAAACACAGTGTTTGTTTTTTAAGCGCCCACGCCTTAGAAAGTGGGGGAAAATGAACGTTTTTAAGAATGAAAACCGTAATGTAAACTCAGCCTGGTCTCTTTCTTAGCCAAGGAGACGGGGCCGAGGAGAGCAGCGAAAGTATTAGGCCACTAACAACAACAACAGCAGCGGCGGAGATGCCAACATGTTAAGATCATGTTAGGCTAACCTGCGGTTAGGGACTGTTATGTTGTTGCTGGCTGTTAAGCTGCTGCAGCCGCCGTTTTGTTAATTTCTCGATTGTGATATTTGTTTAACACACACACACACAGACTACACCCACCCACACACACACATGTACACACGCATCCATATAAAGCACACAGATAGACTGCACGCTAACAGCGACTGCGGCTGGCGCTGTTAACGTCCGCTGTTAACTCAAACGAGTATAGGAGCTCTTTTAACATTGCGCTGCTGCGCTTCCACTTTTTGTTTAATACTTTTTATTTTTGTTTACCCGTTTGTTTCCACGTTTATAACGCTACAAATAAAATCATGAAAATCATAAACAAACACACCCAGAAAAACACAACCACTTACTGGACTGGCTGCAAAACAATACTTGAGGAAAGTAGAATTTTAGCCAGAGGAAAAACATCAGCAGAAATACAAATCGATAAAGTCAAATAGAGTGCCAGGAAAAACAAACAGAAGAAAGAAAGGACAGAAGGGAAATTTATTGAAAAAATATGTGATAATTTGCATTGTGCAGTCAGAGACATAAGATGTAAATTGTAAAAAACATAAGCAAACAAGAGAAGTAAAGGACAGGAAAGTAGGATTCAAATTTCCAAACATATTCAACTTTGATCGATAAATACAAATACAATTTAATGAAACAAGAAAAGGCCAGCTGCTATTTTTATAATTTACTTTTAATTACTACTTTTACTGTAAAAAAAACACAACAGCAAATATTAACTACATCATATATATGAATATGTTTCAAATTAAACAAAGCGATAACAAAACACGTAGAAAATTGTAGTAATTATAGTATACTCTCAAGCTATATTTTAAAGAATGTATAGCTATTCAAAAACAAGAAAAAGAACAACAACCAAACAAAACGAAAGCTTATCAAAATTGATTGTTAAACTCTTAAACTATCTGCAAAACAAAAAAAACCCAAATATATCTGTAAATATTGTGTAAAACTAAAAACTAAAATTGAGAACCAACTTCTAAAGTCACGATGATGAAGATCCAATGCAAAGAATATGAAAGCACGAAATTAACAAGATGAAAAGCTACATTTTTAAGATGAAGAAAAACTCGTCCTATTTTTGTTATAATTATTTAGTCGTTAATTTGCATTAATCTTAATTTGAAAATTTCTCGATGTTTATACGAAATCTGTTATAGGATTTTCTCCACATTTTCTTTTTCGTTACCCACCCCGCACTCTACGACAGACAAACCCATAAAGATGATTCATGAAAAGAAGCTGAACTGCTGCAGCTATTAGATGGAAGTGTGAATAACTAAAGGGCAAAGCTCCAGAGGAGATCCCTCGCCTCCCAAAGTTGTCCCTGTCCGAAGTTGACCGCCCCGTAGACGCCAAGTTTTGTAATGCCCAAGTGCACTCATTTGGGGGCAGGAATAAGATCCTGCCCCAAAGACCCAATGCCACACACAATGCAGCCTGCGGAGACTCAAATTGTCTAAGGCTAGCGTGGAAAACACTAAAAACTAATGTCCCACATAGGTGAGGACCAATCATAATGAATGATGACTAAAGTGTGAAGTAAAACCAAAAATAATACTCCAGCTGAAGTGCCCAAAACTAGCAGTCTACGGGGCCAACCCAACAGAAGGACATTTTGGACAGACAGACGGACGGACGAACCCTTAGTAATTCTGTTGAAAGTATTTCCCCTTTATGATTTTTATATGCAATTCAGAAACCCATCTTCACGCGTTTCATGTTTAGTTTTTCTTCTATGAGTTTTACAATTTAAGCCTCTTTTTAAGCTAACTATTAATTTATTAATTAGTTTGTAAGCGCAAAAATAATTAAAATAAATCTAAACAAATAACTGCAAACAACCTATATTAAAATAAAGGAAAAAATAAAACTATATTGAAAACCAAAATAACCCTGTCATTGACTTCTTATTTATCAAAAACATCGAGCGAATGGGTGCTTTTATTGGGATTCAGAAATTTTGTTGTTTTTATACCCTTGCAGAGGGTATTATAATTTTGGTCAAAAGTGTGCAACGCAGTGAAGGAGAAATCTCCGACCCTATAAAGTATATATATTCTTGATCAGGATCACCTCCTGAGTTGATATAGCCATGTCCGTCTGTCCGTCTGTCCGTCTGTCCGTCTGTCCGTCTGTCCGTCTGTCCGTCTGTCCGTCTGTCTGTCCGTCTGTCTGTTTCTACGCGAACTAGTCTCTCAGTTTTAAAGATATCGAATTGAAACTTTGCACACACCCTTCTTTCCTTTGCACGCAGTATATAAGTCGGAACGGCCGGGATCGGCCGACTATATCCTATAGCTGCCATATAACTGATTGATCGGAAATGCAATAACTTTGGTGTTTGTAAAGTTAGGAAGTTGGGATTTTCTATGGGTTTTATATTTGGCCAATCAATCTGACCTACCAAATTTCATAAGGATCGGCCGACTATATCATATAGCCGCCATATAACTGATTGATCGGAAATGCCATAACTTTGGTGTTTGTAAAGTTAGAAAGTTGTGATTTTCTATGGGTTTTATTTTTGGCCAATCAATCCGACCTACCAAATTTCATACGGATCGGCCGACTATATCTTATAGCTGCCATATAACTGAACGATTGGAAATGTCATAACTTTGGTGTTTTTAAAGTTAGGAAGTTGGGACTTTTTATGAGTATTAAGAATGCATCATATGAATAATTTTGGAGAATATATTTTACAGAATATTCTGCAAGGGTATATCAACTTCGGCTCCGCCCGAAGTTAGCTTTCCTTTCTTGTTTAAGAGAGTCTTTGGAACAAAAGATAGGGATAGGGCGCTGTCCATATATTAAAAGTAATTTAAAAACAAGAAAGGGAAGCTAACTTCGGGCGGAGCCGAAGTTGATATACCCTTGCAGAATACTCTGTAAATTATATTCTCCAAAATTATTCATATGATGCATTCTTAATACTCAAAAAAAATCCCAACATCTTAACTTTAAAAACACCAAAGTTATAGCATTTCCAATCGTTCAGTTATATGGCAGCTATAAGATATAGTCGGTCGATCCTTATGAACTTTGGTAGGTCGGATTGATTGGCCAAAAATAAAACCCATAGAAAATCCCAACTTCCTAACTTAACAAACACCAAAGTTATGACATTTCCGATCAATCAGTTATATGGCAGCTATAGGATATAGTCGGCCGATCCCGGCCGTTCCGACTTATATACTGCGTGCAAAGGAAAGAAGGCTGTGTGCAAAGTTTCAACTCGATAGCTTTAAAACTGAGAGACTAGTTTGCGTAGAAACAGACAGACGGACAGACAGACGGACAGACAGACGGACAGACAGACGGACAGACAGACGGACAGACAGACGGACAGACAGACGGACAGACGGACATGGCTATATCAACTCAGGAGGTAATCCTGATCAAGAATATATATACTTTATAGGGTCGGAGATGTCTGTGCGTTGCACACTTTTGACCAAAATTATAATACCCTCTGCAAGGGTATAATAATAGTTTAAAAATAAATATTTGTATAGCATTTTTTTAAAGAAAGTTTTATATTACAAACTACAAACATTTTCAGATAATATTCCAAATTAATCATTAATTATTCGCGTTTAAAAGGTGCAACCATAAAAACTTAAAGCGTTAAGAAATTTGGCTTTAGGACGACTATATCCTTGCTGTAATAGGAAAAATAGGATCAAATCAGCTAAATCTAGTGGTTTTCGATGATTTATGAGAATACCTATCAGTTATTTAACTTATATGATACAACATCATACCATTTCGGGGAAAAAAACGTAAAAAAGAAAAATACAGTTTTCATAAAGTACATATATACTTTAATATCTCAAATTCTGTCCAACCTGTAGTCAGCCAAAAGACGAACAAATATGAATTTATTAAAGAAAATATAAAGTCTTGATCATTAAATTGGGTTTATCGCTACCCCTTAAAAATTATAGTTTTACAAATTGTACTCATTTATTATTTGCTTATAATTTTATTTTGGATTTAGATACTTTTTAGGGGGAAAAGTTTGTTATAACTCGATGTTCTTTTTTTTGTGGAATAATGTAATTACTATATTGCTATTTTACACTATAACAAATTTAAAATACAGAGAAGTATATCTTCACTGAATATACATAACTTAAACAACTTGTACATACGTTGAAACCAGCCAAAAAGTGTGCACCAATTTTTTAGAAGTACATTTTACACTTCGTAAAAGGGTCCTAATTTACTACTTGTAAAATGTACTTCTTCTTCCATTCAATGGCATTTATATAAAATAGAGGACTGAATTCTTATAAAATTAAATATTATATCTCGAAGTAAAAAACAAGGACATTCTAATTTTTATACCCTTACAGAGGGTATTATAATTTCAGTGATGGAGACATATCCGACTCTGTAAAGTATTTATATTATTGATCAGCTTCACCAGGAGAGTCGAGAGGTAGTTTAAATTTATTTTTTCAGTGGGAGTTATAGTATAGAGTCGTCTGATCCGACCCGATACGACATATATATGCACTACCTGCTATATAAATAAGACTTTTTAGAAAGTTTTATTTAGATAGCTTTAATACCTTTTTCGTTAAATAATGTCCGAACATAATATTTTAGGGTTTAAAACCCCCCATGTTTTGAAGTGTATTATTAGACGACTGATAAAAAGTATATTTATATTGCAGGAAACCCCGCGATTTATCGTATATTCTTTTTTTTGTAAGCCTATGTATTTAACCGCAAAACGTGGTTTCTGAAAGCATTTAAAAGTTAATGACGACTATTCAGTATCACAATCATGGACAACGAATCAAGTAGTTTGGAACGCTTGGTGGTCTTTGACTGCGACATCGGATCGGATGATGCTTGGGCCCTGGCTATGTTACTTAGGGGAGAAGAGTTGTCCTTACCAGAAGGAAAACGGTACAAACTCGTTGCAATAACTTGTGTCCAAGGCAACACGGATGTGGAGAATGGAGCCCAGAATGCCTTAAGAATACTCAAATTACTGGAGAGGCGAGATGTAAGTCTCTAAATTATGACAGTCATATCTTGATACATTTAAAAGGTATGACAGGAAGTACTGTTATACACTATTTTGTACATTTATTTTAATTATAAAATTATAATTTTATAAAATGTTTTAATATATTATTATACGCAGGGTAATGTTTTTAATATTATGCTTCTTTTTTAAGTATAAAAGGATTTTGCTGTTAGTGTAAAATTTCCAAAATAATAATTATTTTTGGTCATTGCTATTCCTTCAACTTAATTCTTATTCTTCCAAATATAGGTACCAGTTTTTAAGGGCTGCGAAAATCCTATAGTACCTCGAACTTGGCTGGACACTTCGCCCTTCCATGGCATCGATGGCTTTAAGGATGTGGGAAACTATCCGGATGTTAAAGATCTGCAGGGTCAACTGCAGCAGGAGCACGCCGTAAACGCCATGTATCGGTTGGCCGGCTTGCATCCGAAACAAGTTGACTTCCTGCTTTGCGGACCACTCACTAACTTTGTCAACTGCATTAACCTCTATGGTAATGATTTTCTGGAGAAGATTGGAGAGGTGCACATCATGGGAGGAAACATCTACGGCCGGGGCAACGTAATGAAGTGCGCCGAGTTTAATTTCATGATGGATCCCGAGGCAGCACACACAACCTTGGAGCGATTGAAGGAGCCAGCGGTAATCCTGCCCTGGGAACCCTGCATCGCTGAAGACTTTATCTTGACCCTCGACTGGAGACTGAACGTCTTGGGCTCTGCAGACCATCCTTTTGTGGAGCTGATGACCAGAGTGCAGCGAGCAATTATGGTGCCAGGTGGCTTTCCCGACGCCGCCCTTGCTGCCGCATATCTCTTCCCAAAGGCAATTATTGCCGAGCAGTTGGAGTACCATGCCACTGTGGAACTATCCGGGGTTCACACCCGTGGGCAGATGGTGCTGGATCATCTGCGAGGTCGTCGGGTGGATTCCATCCATGGTAAGAAGACCAATGTGCGGATCATTACCCATTTGAACAGGGAGCCATTTCGCACTGTCTTATCCTGGACGGGATTCCTTCCACAAACGGATATCTCAAAGCTCTGCGAGCAGGAACATACAAATGTCAGTAATCCATTAAAAAGTTTACACAATGTGTAATATTTATTGGTCACTGTAGTCAAGGTTCACACAGTAAACACAATTATAAAGCATAATAGTACAATAAAAACTATCAACGTGTTCTACTCTTCTGTTATTTGAAGAAGAAAATATATATGTATACATTTATGAAATATTGAATCGAGAACAAATTTTTCCTTAACATAAACTTTCTTCTGATATATCTCAAAGGACCAATGATTAGATTATCCGTTTATGACACAATCTTCCCCATCAATACGAAATACTTACTTAATTACATTTTATAATACTATCGAAGAATTTCTCAACCCAGTATAATTCATATTTATTACTTTCAAAATACCATTCATAAAAGTTAAAAGAAAACTCATAAATTTACAAAAAAAGAACAAATTATTTAAAGATGTAAGTAACTAGATCCTAAGTCAAGGTGACTAGCAAAATAACAATAAGTTTAAATTTGTGCCGATGGTCTTTATTATAAAATAAATAAAAACCCTTCACATAAAACCCAAAAAAACCATATCCCTTATCAATCCCACAGTTAAATGGCCTCACTATGGATTGAAAAATAAATTTATTTGTTCAAGTGATTTGTCTTGGCACATTGGATCTTAAGCTAGGGAATGTTGTAAAAACAGTTTAGAATACTTTGTGTGGCCTCGGTCCCTTTAGAAATCCGTTTCAGGGCTTTGTGGCCTGGGGTCATCCGGTCGCCCTTGGTGGTTTGGCTGTGGTTCTGTGATAGTTGGCGAGCTCTCCTCCTGCACTTGAGGTTGGACCTGGGGAAGCACTGCTTGGATCTGCGGTTGGGCATGCGCTTGTGGTTGGGTGACCACCACGTCATCGGTGTCAACCGTATCGCGACCCAGGTCGGCCTCCTGCTTGGGAGGATTGAATGACTTCAGGTTGCCCAACTGACTGCGAACGTCCGACTCGGAGAGAAGGTGCAATGGCACGTTTGCTGGGACGGCCAACCGCTTGGGACTGGTGCTGCCGTCATCTGGCTTGCGTCTGTCTGGCGGGAACACGACCTGTGCGTAGGTGACACCACTCTCGTTGGGCTCCACGATGCTCTGGGCCCCGCCCGACGAGGTCGTCACCGAACTGGGATTCCTGAAGACCGCAGTCTGTGTTGGGGCTTCTTGGGGGGCATCCCTGCGTTGCGTGGGCGAGGAGGTGGTGGTGGTGGTCACGGGACTTCCTCCGCGCGGAGCACTCGGCGACGTAGTCGCATCCTCGTGTGGAATGGGGGCATACAGAGATGGCGTGTAATTGGTGTCCGTCACCTTGCAGTTGTACAGATTCAATCCCTTGGCGAAGATATACACCAGAATGTCGAAGAGCACACTGGCCAGGATCAAGGAGGCTGTCAGGATGTCCAGGATGTTGCCATGCTTGGGCGTCTCCCGCAGCAGACAGCGCTCGTAGTTGGGCGCCCAATAAACGCAGGTGGAGCCTTTGGATAAAAGATTGAAAGAAGATTAGTTCATCCTCCATCGAATGCCCGCGAACCACTGCACTTACGGGTGACAATGTCGTAGCTCAGGTGCACCGGCACATAGGCGAAGAGGCCCACGATCATCAGCTCGAAGGCCAGGGCCAGGGACTTGTCCTGGGGCAGGACAGCCCGCAGGGTGATCAGCGTCTTGCCGATGGTGCCCACGCCCAGCAGGAAGGCCACCGAAATGGTCATGATCTGGAAGACGATGATGGCCCACTGGCAGCTGTCGGCGCTGCAGGCTCCTGCGGTGGCCCTCATCTGGCCGGTGGCGTTCAGCGACTGGTCGCCGCTGCAGCTGCAGCCCTCGAACAGCTGGAAGCTGTTGATGGAGGTCTCTTTGGTGCAGCCCGCATAGCAGGGCGAGAAGTACGTGATGGAGCTGTTCTCTGGGCAGACGGGCATGAAGGCGGTGGGCGTGCACAGGCACTGGCTGGAGCAGTAGGGCTGCTTTAACTTGCCACCCTCCACGCCCGCAATGGCGCCCACATCGCACTTGACGAAGATCAGGCCCACGAAAATGGCCACCAGGTGGAGGCTGAGGGTCACGTTGATGCCGGTGATCTTGCGGGCAGACAGCTGGGCCTTCGAGATGACCAGGCCACTCACCAGCATTCCCACCGCCATCACCGGCGGCTTGAGGAAGTAGGACACGAACGCCGATCTCCACTCCGCCGTCAGGCCGTCCTGCTCGTTGTAGGGCAGGAAGAACCTGCTCTGCAGGTAGCCCTCCTCCTGGAGCCCGTAGTTCACCACCGCACTCTGCACACACATCAGGCTCAGCAGGTTGAACATGAGCAGGCGGTTGTTGAAGAGCCTCCTCAGCGACGGCCAGAAGTCGGAGTCGTCCAGGTAGGTGGAGAACTGGCTGCCGAAGTGGCGCATATTGGACTGCTCGATGATCCGCTGGGCGGCCTGGTGGATGACCGTCTTGGGCAGTCGCTTGGGAAACAGTCCCAGCATGACGGCGCCCACGAAGATGAAGGGAGCCAGAACGACCCAGCCGAGCCACCAGCCCACGTTGGTCAGTCCCACTCCCAGGACGAGGAAGGAGCCGGCCTGCTGGCCGAAGACGCGGGCTGCCAGTATGGCCGCTATCACCGCCGGACTGTCCTGCGACAAGGAGTTGTCGTCGATGTAGCTGACCCCCAGCGTGTAGTAGGCCAGCCCACCCATGCCCAGGGCCAGTTGCAGGACGAAGAGCATGGCCAGGGTGAGGCTGCTGCTCTGCGACTCGGTCAGCGTCAGTTTCTGGAACTGCGCCAGCGACGTGGCGCACAGATTGGCATCCAGCAGGGCGTCCTTTGCCTTGCCGCCCTCGGAACTGAAATAGTTTGTTAGTTAGTTATAAAAACAGGTAAATTAATCCAAAAAATTTCAAATTCACAAGACTACACGTAATTTGTAATATTCATTCAAATTCTAAAACAGCTAATTAAGAATTAGGAAAACTGTCATTATATAAATATTTTTATATGCTTAGTAATAAGTTGAAATACAAATAACTTTAATAATAATACAAAGGTCTATTGCATTTAAAACTTGACAAATATCTAACAATTTATTGAAAATTCAAAATAAATGAAACAATTGTTGAAATGGTTTTTAAAGCATTTTTTAAAATAATTGTTAGTTAGTTAGTTATTTATTAAGAACCGCACTTTTATCGACATGTATTTTGTACTGGTTGAAACTGGTCAAAAGCAAATCTAAGTTTTTTTCTGTTGTTCTTAGATTCTGAATCATTTTTTGGTATTTTAATTATTTTTTGGTTTTACGGACATTCAATTTTCTATTCTGAAATATATTTCTCTTGTTTGTTGTTTGTTGGATATTACTTTCTTGGATAAATTAATTAATTGCTAGCTTTACCCTGTTCACTTTTATAAGATACTTACAAGTTAATAATAGACGGAATCACGGCCACCACGCAGGTGACTGCCTGCAGCATCAAAGTTCCCACCAGCCATTTGATGGGATGAAAAACATCCGCCCAGTAGGCAAAGGCCAAGGCAAATACAGCCTGGAACAATCCACTGGCCACCAGCAGCCAATCTGTGGGTTTAAAAATAGAAAATCTATAAATATAGCTTCCAGACGTTTCATTGAAGTATTGGTGAATCCCTGGTAAGCCTTATCTAACTCACTCATGTAGGTCTACATGACGTATGAGTAACGCGGCAGTGGACTATAATATTTCTATATCTAGAGCCTACCTTTAATTGAGGGAAAGCCACTTCCGTTTAGAATTTTTTTTGCTTTCCAAGAAAGACAAAAAACCTGTTTAATACGTGTTAACTTTTGCTGCGATTACGCATTGCCTCTCTCCCAACGATGACGAATATTTATTACCTACCTAACAATTTATCAATGCTAGAGACTTTTTTATTTAAACTGCTGTGGAATTAGGAATTTCTGTGGCACTCCAATTTAAATTATAGATTATAGACAGCAAATTATATGTAGATTATAGGTATCAATGTATAGTATGTTAACTATTTATAAAAATTAATTGACTATTTAAGTCATAAACGATTGTTTTATGATATGCACTAAATTGTGATAATGTCAAGGTGCATTCCATTCAAAACAAACTAATTAAATTTTTGGTTGTTTATTTAGAGAACTTATTGTGTGTGTCCATTCCGAGCAAGTAAAAACAGGTGGACACAAGAGAGCGCGGACAATCGTCAACAATATCGCAAAACTGATAACAGAACTAAAATCTCCACGTAGAACCGGGCCAACACCTCCATTATCTTTCCCCGGTCATGTTGGCATTTTCCCATTTCTGCGATAATGCGGCTTACTCACCCACTAGCAGCGGACTGTAGCCGAACTGGAAGGCGGCCTGTTTGGCCGAGACGCGGAAGTAGGATTCGCAGGCGCCCTGGAGCGTTCCCGAGATGGCCAGGACCAGGACGAAGGTGCGCAGCCTGGCGTATTTCTGACAGCCAGGACCGCGGCACCAGCCCAGACCTTTGATCCCGCAATCGACACTGTCTGGGTGGGGAAATTAAATAAAATTCTCAATAAATGGTATGCAATAGTGCTGCTTTTTGGGTCACCCACCATCGGGTATATTGTTGGCATTGACCGCTATCTGCGATAAATCGGAGTTGCGCGTATTGTGCGCCATATTCGTATTCGATTTTGGATTCGTTTGTGTTCACTTCACGTCACTTCACTCGCTTGTTGCGTTGGTTCTTGATTACTTCAGTTAGTGGCCCTGGTTCGATGGCATCTTAGCCGCGGTAAGACCACACTTACGTCTATTCGAAAGGAGAAACGGGAGCAAACTGAGGAGCTCCACCTGCCCAGAACCGAATTCCTCTCTTTATCGCCTGATAAGCAAGTTCTTATCTTATCGTCATTAGGTTCTTAATTGCAACTTTATTTCTGCCGCTTACGCTTGCTCTTGGATTGCTGGCAACATGTTGGCGCAACAAGTGTCTAAACATTGATAGTAGAGCAGGATCGTAATTAAATATTATATGATATTAGTAAATTTGTTTGCTTTTGATTCCACATATGCTGAATGGTTTTTAAAACTCCAGAAAAATATTTTATTTATATTTGTTTGAAAAATATTTTACTAATCATTTTATTTCCAAAGTAATGTGATGATTATCATCATTATATATGTAGATTACGCGGTCCAAAACCAAATTCAGTCTCACCATTCAATATAGTGGATAACGCAAAAAACATTTATTTTAAGCTTAAGTAAAAAATTCTTATACTACAAGTATTGTGAATTAGAATTTATTTTTTGATCAAAGGCAACGGTACGTATGAGTAATAATCGTTGAATTCTGTGCACAGACTCACAAACGCCTTTATGGTGTGTGGGTATGTTGACATTTACAAAATATTCATTGTTTTAAGTTACAACAAATTTGTATTCCTTTTTTAACTTATAAAAATTTTACCAACCCTGATTGAAACCAACAAATTGAATAAGCAAGCCTGACTTATGTGTCAAAAATTAGTTATCTAAACTGAAAATAAGCTTCAAACTACTTAGAACTGTATTAAGTCAAGAGAGAGGTTTAAAATGTATTGCCTAGTAAGTCTTATATTGGTAATATATTTCTCATTGGGCACCGCGGATGTGACAAGTTCACCTCCGGTGCTGATCTGGGGCACCGAGACGTAAGTAACTGGCAACCCAAGAAAGTATTTCCTTAAGACTATCCTTTGCAGTTCTAAGGCCACAAGTATTTTTCGCCCTGTAAAATTCGATAAGTTTTACAAAATAATAAAAAATTTGAAAAGGGACAATATGATAGTGATTTACCTAGCCTCCGAGGTAATCTCTCAAGCTTTAAATTGCATTTTGAATGCTTAACGCCTTATTAATTTAGCTGGCCGCCAAGGACATTAACTGCGATGTGTGCTTTCCCTACTTGAGCAAAATCCACCCCATGAACTACTACAGTCAGGTGGAAGAGCCCCTGAAGGCCGTGGAGCAGGTCAGTAAGATGACCAGAGAAGGTATCATCTGGCACACTCCCTTGATCACGGAAATAAGGAGACTAGAACTGGAGATGGAGCTACCTTGCAAGAAGGGACAGATACACGCCTTCAGTTTTAACGATCGAAATGTGCTTGCTCATGGTGAGTTCAAATGCAACAAAAATCCCATTTTACTAAGAAATATATAATTCCAGTTTAAAGACATTGGCATTTTTAAAAGTGTTATTTTTAATTTTGACTTAATATTAAATTTACAATATGAAATTTATCTTAATTTCAGGAAATATATCTTTAGATACAACTTCTAGCTATTTAATTTTTAATACTTTATTGCTATATGTTCAAACTCAAATTGAATATTTCAGATGCTGCCATGGCGGTGGCAACCTATCAGTTCAGTGACTGTCCGGTGGTGCACTTGTACACGGCTTATACGGAGGAAGACCGGGCCTTCCAGCGGCGTAAATCGCAAAAGATACGTCCCGCGCCCATTGTAATGGATCCATCGAAGACCGTGGGATCATCGACGGATGGAAATGATACCGACTCGAGCGACCCGAAACAATTCAGCTACACCATTGTTAATAATATGACCTTGCTGCGACACAACATGGTCGTCCTTTTATTTCAAAATATTATGATGGCCACGAAGCACCGACACTTCTCACTGGCCTTCAACCGGACTCACGTGGTCCTGCCCAAAGGGAAAGAGGGAGTGCAGGTGGGCTTGCTCAACGGGGTGGACATTTACCGGGGCATCGTTGTGGTCATGGACACAAGCATCAGTCCCCTGATCATTGAGTTGGTGCCCTCGCATGGCAATTGGCACCTCACCCGCATCATCTTCGGCAGCAATACCACCTACTATCCGCGCGATCTCATCTTCTTCGGCCTTGACTTCAGCCTATGTTGTCCGGACATCACAGTATTTTCCTCGGACTCGTCGCGGCTGACTATCTTCGACCTTCACCTGGACATCCTTTGGCGAGGTAAGTGTCATCAGGGGTTCTGGAAGACGTGTCTATGCTCAGTGAACTATACTATATTGGGGTGCCACTGAAAACTCTTTCTACAAAACTGTTGATGTCCTTGAATTTAAATTGAAAATTTAAAGCCAAAAAGTAGCTCTTAAAATTTTTTTAAAAATTTACAGTCCAGCATCCTAATAAATAAGATAATGGGGCATTTAAAAACGCTTTTAAATGCATTTTAAGCAAATCTAAGAATTAACTCTAATGTGTGCAACTATTTAAAAAAATAAATTTACTGCATTGTTCTATTTTTTAAAACAGTTGTAGACCAGGACGTTTATTTTGACCAAGTGTCAAAATCGTTCATTTGACCATAATATTTGACCTTACAATAACAAATTGTAAATATGAGATGTGCATATTTAGTAAAAGCAATATCACAATAAAATCTTGAAAGATTTAATGGTTGATTATGATTAACTACAAGAAGCCTATAAAAAATTAAATAATTGGGTTTTAACTGCGTATCAAATGCTTATCAATATTGAATAATTAAAACAAAAGATAAGGGCTAATATTATATATCAATTTAAATATTTTAAAATCTCAAGTCTGATAAGTAATATTGCTATATATATTTTAAGTCGTGGCATACTTTGGTTTTAATTTATCACGATACGTTTGATAATGCAGCTAAAAGCAATATCCATAATTTTTTGTATAGGTTCCTTGATTATCCATAATAAACCTTTGAATCATCCAAGATGATAATGTTCTGTGAAATAATAAAACAAAAATAGTGCAGATAATAGCAGCTGTCTTTTTGCAGATAACGACAATGGCATGGACGCGGAGTACGAGGCTAAGCCCTGCTGGGGTTGTTCTGTGCTGATGACACCGACCCTGACCCAGACCATATTCGTGATGCTGATCGTAACCCTGATACTCTGGATCGGCCTGGCCATGATACTTGCGATCGGGCAGAACAGGTTCCTCCAGAACGCCGCCGATCCTGACCTGCACATCAAGACGGACACCTAGACATCGTATGGGAACTGTGGTGGCGACCCTCGCCCACGCTCTTTGATGCACATGCGGCACGGTCTACACACTCTGCTAATTCACTTGCTTACAATTCTAATCGCGTGGGGTCGCGGATGGTGCGGATGGGGAAGAGGGTTAGAGATCGTAATAATAATGTCATTGTCGCGTTCTTTTATTGTCTGTTTTGTATTGTCATTGCGATTCCGCCTCAACTCTCCACTGGACTACTCTCCACTGGACTACTCTCCACGAGGAAAACAAAGAGGTCCGATAAGCCATGGGTCTTCTGAGACATGTCCAAAATTTGATTTGCACGTGGGCCAGCGGCGAGAGAACCGATTGTTCCCGCCCTCGGCTTTATTACCTGATAAAGCTTTATCAGGCTTCGATTGGCACCGAGCGGACACGGCGAGCTGCCTGGGAATTTTGAATTTCATTTCTCAGTTTTACTCGCGCCTCGATTCGGAACGGATCGGCTATCACTATCTCCGCCCATTTATTTAGGCGTTGCATCGGGACTAGTTCCTGCGAAAAGGAACTCGAACGGTAATTTAATCAATCGCATAAGTGTCGATTAGATTGCACGGTAAACTAGACGAGTGTGGTCACTATTCGACAGTTGATAATATGCGCATTGCATAGGCTTCACTCTTCACTCAAGTCCCAAAACGTACGTACACCTGTCTGGTAATCGCCAACAATCGGCGATATCGGGGCGGCATTCGTCGATCGACATTGGGGTAGCTCGTCATGCGGAAGGAACCTCTGTGGATACACTCAATATATATGTCATTGGCGGTTTTTTTAGATCTGTAGAGCCCCTTTCGAGTGTAGAATTTTTTGACGCATTTAAAGTGCATTGAATGGCGTTTGAATCATCATTGTACGTAGAGGATCGTGATTTGTAAATATCAAGAATCATCATTGTATGTAGAGTTCATGGAGGATCGTGATTTGTAAATATCAAGAGCCCACTTACAAAGCTACAAAATTAATATCAGTATACTTTAGTTCAGACAGTAGAGAACTTTTAAAATCTTATGGTCATGGACTTATTCTGAGTGCAATTTTAATTAAATTGCCCATAAAATATTTAATTGCTTTTCGCTCTCAGATGCGTTTAAATACGTCTATAGTTTTAGTCATGTTTTCTCATTAAATGGATTTTACATTTTTTCTTGAAGGACTTCAGGATGCAAAAAGGAAGGTAAATATTTTTTTGACGCATCTGCAAAAATTTAATAGTATCATAGAATAGCTAAAAAATTGAGTTTCATAAAAATTAAATAAAGTTTAGTTTCGTTTAGATGGATAGGGAAAAAACAATTATTTTCTATAAATAACTTTTCATTAATATTTGATGTCATTAAACGCATTGAAAACTTTCTTGGTAAATAATTTTTGGACACATCTGCAAAAATTTTATAGAATCATAGAAAACTTCCTTGGTATCCAGGTCTGTTCTTTTGGGTATGTACAAATTATTTTCTTTTATGATAAATGAGCAGTTACAACTTGAAAGCCTAAAGACCTTTTTTTAACTTATCAATCACTTCAACATTTAAAATCGAAATGTTGATAAGGCTTCTGTAGGAGATAAATGTGTTGTTTACAGACCCAATGTATGGAAAGCAGTCTTCTAATAAAATAACCATGAAATTGTCTGATTCACAAAAGAAAATACCTTTTTCAATAACATGATAAGCAAAGAATTACATTACCAAACATATAATTCCCACATCAGTTGGTTGTAGTATATCAGTCTGAGTTCATTAAACTGATTTCAGTTAATGGTTGTTGGTCCGAATAAATACAAAATGTCTAATTATGATTGATAAGCAATGTACTGGAGTTCCCAAAAATAGAACTCTATGCTTTCAAGTACTTTGCATTTAAAGATCCCTTTTTAGTTTCAGAACATTTTCTTTGAGTAATGTTAATATACCATGTCATAGTGATTAGTTTATGATAGCAGTTCCCAAAATTTGTTTACGGATCTGAGCATATTTGAAAGTACCCACGATAAGATATCTTTATTGAACCAAGGGAATGATTCTGGTGATTTGGCTGGTGGTCTGATCAATTAAGGACAGATGTCCAGTGGTCATCGTTATGCGGTAATTATAGTTGTTTATATTAGCTACCCCGACCATATAGATATCTTATATTTGGCAAAGAAATAACGGTTTATCTAATCGCCTCGGCCCAGACCCAATATGATCTTGAGTAGGCACCATTATCGATACTTAATCAATACTAAGAATTTCACATCAACAACTTTTATAAGCCCTAAACGATATTTGAAGATTTCAAGATCGGGAGAGTCACGATTACGGGAGTGATTTTCAATCAACCGAGAGCGTGGCGAAATTCAGTCTGGAAATACAAATAAAAACAAGAGAGAACGCTATAGTCGAGTGCCCCGACTATCAGATACCCGTTACTCAGGTAAAGGGAGTGCGAGGGAGATGGAGATAGAAACTTTGATCACGCATAACTTTTTAACGAATGGTCCGATTTGAAAAATTTCTTCTACATTTCGATAGGTATTGATAAACACAATAAAACTGCATTTTTACTTTTCCGAAATATTTAAATTTTTAAAATCGTATATAAGCGATTGTGGGCGTTAAGTGGGGGCGTGGCACCTTTTTGAAACAAACTTGCGCTGCGTAGGAACTCCTAGAATCTGCATGCAAAATGCCAATCCTCTAGCTTTTATAGTTTCCGAGATCTCAGCGTTCATACGGACAGACAGACAGACAGACGGACAGACAGACGGACAGACAGACAGACGGACAGACGGACAGACGGACAGACGGACAGACGGACATGGCTATATCGACTCGGCTATTGACCCTGATCAAGAATATATATACTTTATAGGGTCGGAAACGCTTCCTTCTAGCTGTTACATACTTTTGCACGAATACAATATACCCTTTTACTCTACGAGTAACGGGTATAATAATGGTCTGTTATGGTCAAATGTCCCTCTGTACTCTGTGCCTTGCAGTCTACTTCCTATCACTCCACTGTCTATCTGGAAGCCGTGTCCGCAATCTAATCGGTCCAAATCGATGATTTGCTGAGTCCCACAGACAAGACAGTAGCATCCCGCAGTTGAAGGCGGTACGAAATCGAAGATGGTGGAAGTGAAACGTCGGGGATCGAATCCCCCACCCGGGAACTACCTGTGCGGCATGGCCAACTGGCATCCGGCCTGGCTGCAGAAGTACGCCACCACCAAGATGTTCATGGCCGTTTACGGACTGCTTGGCACCATTCAGGCCATGTCCTACATGTACTTCATCGTCACCCTCACCACACTGGAAAAACGTTTCAAGATTCCCAGTCAAACGACAGGTAATATTAAAATACAATGTACCTTTGCAATTAAGAAATTTACTTGTGCTGTTTCAATATGGATTACAATGTGTAACATTTAACTACAATTTCGAATTCCGATTCTGAAAATACTTATCTCGCTCTTGATTTTAAAATTTTTAGTAAAAATTCCCTATATCTTTAGAAAAATTGTTATTTTATGTTTTTATGTGTTCCTATTGAGTTGAAGCTTTAAAAATTCCGGGAAAATCTAATATTGTATGTATTGTATTTTATACAGATTTATTTTATTTTTTTTTAAATTGCATTTTGATCTTTACAGTGGTTTTGCTTCTTTGTGTCTAGGTATAGACCTAAAACAATGGATTGAATATATGAAAGCAAAGTTTGAATTGGCTTCATGAATCAAATTCCAAATCTTTAGGTCGTCATACATAGTATCCAAACCCAAACTAAGCCAGAGAAACGAAAATACGTTTTAGATAAATTGGATGAATTAATTCAGAATCCAATATCGAAACTGCAGTCAAATTTTCAATGTAGCACTAAGTTATCATTAATGTTGTATTTGAGCTTTTGGAATATTAAATGGATTAAAAGTTATTAAATAATAGAGGTTTATTTTAATTATTTATTTTATTAAATAATTACTCTCTGAATATTTATTTTAAAATCCCTTGATACATTTATTATTGCAGGCATTGTTCTCAGCGGGAATGAAATCTCGCAGATCATGCTCTCCCTCATCCTGTCCTACATCGGTGGTCAGCGCAATCGTCCGCGTTGGATTGCCTGGGGCATTGTCTTCTGTGGTCTGTCTTGCTACATCCTCGTTCTGCCGCATTTCATCTACGGTGCAGGTCACGAGGTGCTGCAGTTCACCAAGGAGTACCAGGAGGGCCTCCTGAATGGCTCGTCTAGCGCGGGTCAGCCCCTGCTGGTGGGTTAATTGCTCAATCTCAAGTCGTTATCTCTCTAAATGATGCCATTCTTGTAGAATATCAGCTCTGTCCAGACAGAGCGACTCTGTGGAGTGGGCAACACGGAGGACAACTGCGATGATCTCTTCTCCTACGTGCCACTGGTGCTCATCTTCACCTCCCAATTTGTACTGGGCGTGGGTAACACCATGTACTACTCCCTGGGACAGACCTATCTCGACGACAACACCAAGAAGACAAACACTCCCCTGATGCTGGCAGTGGCCATGGCCTTGAGGATGATTGGTCCTATCGTGGGATTCTTTTTCGGTAAGCAAAAGATCCTTTCAAAATATTTCAATAATATTAAACACCGACGAACTTTGCTAGAACACTTCGTCAGTAGATTGATCATACTACATACATACTACAGATTTTTAATGGTGTATCGAATTTGTAAGCCCTTGCCGGCTTTATTACAAATTTGGTCAGAGCTTTCAGCACATTTAAACTTTTTGTATGCCTTCGATTAAATTGTTTCATTCATTTTTTCCAACTCAGGCTATTTGTCGCTAAACACCTTCATCGATCCAACCAAGACTCCCTTGATCGACAACAAGGACCCCCGCTGGTTGGGTGCCTGGTGGCTCGGCTGGGTGATCCTGGGCACCCTGATGTGCCTGTTCTCGGGCCTCATCGGGCTCTTTCCCAAGCAGCTGCCCAAGGTCAACGACGGACCAAGGACCAACTCTCACCTTCCGCTGGCACTGCGCCAGACGAAGGAGGAGCTCAAGCGGGAGGAGAACCTCTCGCTGAGCAGCCGCTTCTCCTCGAACGCCGCCCTGGACAATATTGGAGCGGCTGCGGGGGCCAATGCGGACCTGCCCCAGCTGAAGGACTTCCCACGCGCCCTCATGCGACTGCTGCGGAACAAGCTCCTGCTTTTCAACATCACTTCGGCCGTCTTCTACATTCTGGGTGCCTCTGGATTTATGACCTTCCTCACCAAATACATGGAGGTGCAGTTCCACAAGGACCCCCAAAGTGCCACCATTGTGAGTTTTCCATGCACAACTTTAATTTGCTGCTCGCTTTTGGTTCTACTAACTAACCCTTTTTTTTTCAGATCGTTGGCCCCATCTCCATTCTGGGCATGGTCATAGGTCTGATTGGGTCCGGTGTGGTGCTGTCTAAAAAGAAGCCCCACGTGAGTAAGGTGCTCATGTGGAACGTAATCGTTGCTGGAGTCTCCATCATGGCGCAGATCTCCTACGCCTTCCTCTACTGCCCGGACACCTTCTCCATGACTCATGTGGGACAGTAAGTACCCAAAGAAAAACATTTTTTTTAATCTAAACTATTTCAGAAATTTCCAGTCTAAATTAAATATTAAATGAGATTATTAAAGAATTATAATTTATATATATTTTTTATTCACCCTTACTGATACATGCATTTCAAATTCAACGGCTTATATATTTTACATCAACATTAATTTCATTTATGAATTGTGTTATATATTTCTATCCCATCAATATTGTTATTCTTTATGTAACAGCTTTAACTTAAAACTTAACCTAAAAAACATCATCCAGGCAACGGAACTTTAGCCATCTTAATTTTTTTGAAATACAGACCAATGCTAAGATTTATTAGTCGGTGTAGAATTCTACAAATTTATAACCTATGCTGTCTTAGCATAAAAGTTTCTAAAATTGGATATTTAAAATTTAGAAAATGGCAGCTGGGAGATCGATAGAGTAAAATCCTTTAACGCGTCGAAGAGTAACAGATAAAATTCAATCCTATATTTTGTTTAATAGTTAATATATATTTAATATATTTTGGAGTAAGCAATTACATTGTTTTTATAAAATTACAATAGTTTAAAATAGTTGAAAGGTATAATATTCAATAGCCTATTATTCTTGAATGTTTACCTTTATTTTTAAAGCAAGAATATAGAATACCAAGTTCAATAAGGCTAAAGGAACTTTTACCTCGAATATTAGCCTTAAAACCCTCCTTACGTTTTTCTTATTTCAGGTTAAACCTGACGGCATCCTGCAACTCAAACTGCTCCTGCGAAGGGATAAAATACACACCCGTTTGCCACGAGCCGACCGACACCACCTTCTTCTCTGCCTGCCATGCGGGATGCCGAGGATACAACGCCACCTCCAAGTTGTACGAGGACTGCAGCTGCCTGGCTAATGCAACTCCTTCACCCACTGCTGCCCAGCGGCTAATGAGTCTGTTGCAACCCACTCCAGAACCTGAGCTGGATACCACCACGGACTTTTCCGAGTATCTGGGCGGAGTGCCCCTTCTCAACGACGATGGTGATTTCGAAGAGGAAGTCCTGTCCAGGTCCAGGAGAGCCACACCCGATTCGGTGCTCCGGCCGGGAATCTGTACGAAGAACTGCAACTGGAGCTTCTGGACCTTCTCCATTATCTCGATGTTAGCCGGTTGGGTCGGCTCGTCCGGTCGGGTGGGCAACGTCCTGGTCAATTACCGAGCTGTGGCCACCGAGGACAAAAGCTTCGCCCAGGGTCTAGCCCTGATGATGATCAGTTTGCTTGCCCTGATCCCAGGTCCCATTATGTTCGGCCGCCTTATCGACTCCACGTGCCTCGTGTGGACAAAGACCTGCAGTGGCAATGGCAACTGCCAGTTGTACGACCAGACCCGCTTCCGTTACTCCCTCAACTTTTTGTCTTGCAGTAAGTTCCAAAGTCTGAAGAACATAGTATGCTAAAAGTAGGTATTAAACTGTAAAAATAAAAAATGTTTCAGTTTAATACCTACTTTTTGCTCCCACAAAGTCGAAAAACGGTATGAAGATATTTTCAACGTTAGTAAAAATTATCTTCCCATTTTTAATAGAATACCATTTTGCACTACATGTATAAGAAAACTAGTTTAATAAATTATTTCTTGAAATGAATTTAAACATAAATTTCAAGAAAAGATAATAATTTATTAAGCTAAATAGTTTGAGCTTAAATTTTAAGATTAAACTAATTTAATAATTTATAATTTTATAATATATTATAACATTTCAGCGCTCACCTTGATCGGACTGTTCTTCGATTACCTTGTTTGGTACTATGGACGAACTCTCGACATTTACGGCGATAAGGAGGCTAAGGAAGAGGAGCGTGCCAACCGAAGGGACCAGCCCATTACTCCGCTCCTGGCCAAGAAATCTGACCAGGTGGAATACTGAAAAGACAACCCAACCGTGATACTCAATTATAAGGAGTAAATTCATATACACACCAGTTCCGAGTATTCAATAAAACAAATCCATTCCTAGAGTAAGTTTCTGTAAGGATGTCGAGCGATATTCGCTAATGGATTTCTTACTATCCAATGTTTCAATGTACAATTTTGTATTACTTGTATTACACGCTAAGATCAATTAAAATACTGCACGACGCTTAGTTTAAAAAATAAATAAAAGAATTTATTTGTACGTATGTATATAAATAAAATTAAACTAAAAAAAATGCTCATCTTGAAAAATCATTTGCAATTTTTCAATTGATTTGATCGCTTTTTAAGCCTATTTGAATTTAAGAGTGTTTGTAGCATTGGAGAAGGTTTATTTACCCCAATTAGGATTTGGTCAATCATTTGAACATCTGTAAAAAAAGAAACACGGTATTTTGGTAATCCAGTTTTATCAAATAAATAAACTCGCTGAATTTGGTTCTTTAGTCTTCATCTTTTTTCTGTAATTTTCTTTTCACTTTTATTGATAAAAAATGTTCAAATTTATGCAGATCGTTTGGTTTTTCTTCATTTCATACGTATATGTATAATAATAATACATTTCAATTTCGTTTTCTGTATAAATATTCCCGTTTTGTCTATATAATTTCTATTATTACAATCGCTCCTCTTCCTTAGTGGCGTAGTTTTCGACTTCCGTTTTATCTCTCATATGGTTTGGTTGAGTGTCAGTGTCGGGGTTGTATGTGTGAAACATTTTAAATAAGTTTCCGCGTTGTCAACAATTATATCGCACTTAGTATTATTACAATAATATGAGTTCGATTCTTAGGAGGCTGCGAAAAGCGTTAAAAGCAGGTTCAAGTCCATCATTAAATATGACACCGATTAAGGTATTATTCAGTTAATTAAATTAACTTAGACAGGGGACTGCTCACCGTTCTTAACTAATATTATTTATTTACTTGTGTCGGTAGGGGCAACAACTTTCAATTTCAACAAAGACTAAATTTAAAATAATAACAGGGGAAGACAGATTCCGAATAATGGGGGTGGATGTTTTGAAACCGCCTTGGTCCTGGGTCCGGATGAATGTATAAATATGGGGGTAAAATAAAATAAAAACCGTAGATCCTTTGTGTTTTTTTTCTGCTTGGTAGCAAAAGGCATTTTATTTTTTCATAAGTGGGTTTCGTGGTTGACCTGCACGAATTCTTCAATTAACTAAATTATAAAAAAATCTAATTTTTTGTAAATCTGCCAAATAAAGTGAATTTACCGAAGGGGCCAAGATTGAAGTTAACAATAAGATATTTACGTAGGTGATAAATGTTTGTTTCTCTGTTATGCCATCTTTGTAGTGTTCTTCAATGATGCAAAGACTTTTAATTTTGAGCTTACGAATCAAACCAACTTGACTCCATGTTCATTAAGCTTAAACTTAAATTAAAGCATTTAGATTATATCATGTAAAAAAGAAGAGCAGAAATATCGTATTGTATTTGCAGGGTATTTAACAAATTTGCAATTTGAAGGCGCATACAGGAAGCTGAATGGGTAAGGGGGATCGGGGATTTTGCTTTTCGCTTGTACAAATACAAAAATTGGGTAGCTTGCAGCTTTAGTTTTAGTATTAAAAAATTTCACGTCTTCCGCGCGATTTAGGCATGTACGTGTACGCTATTTAATGCTTACAGTTTATACAAAAGTATTAAACCAAAATAAAACGACGACGGCAACTAATCTTCAATATCCTTGACAGTGGGTCTCAACAAACATAATTGTACCAAGAATCTATTAATGCCTTATCAGTTACCATCGCGGCTCTTCGCCAACTCATGCTCCCTCGCATACATTATGTATATATACGTGTGAGTGGTTTGTTGTGTATATATATAAATAGTTCATCTTGTTTCGCGCTCGCTGCTTCCGATTTTGCTGCTTAGTTATACATAATATAGTTTATAATTCGTATATAATGCATTTCTGTTTCTATCTCTGAACACTCCGTCCGTGCGTCGGGGTTGTAAATTAACTTAACGCCTGCCCGTTTTTATAATGCACTCTACATTGCCGTTCCGTTTCGATTCGAATCCTATTCAACCTTCTTATCAATGTATAATCAATTGCTATTGCTGGTAGAAAGTAAAGTAACCATAAGTGAGTAAGAGCTCGAGCGTGGGTGTGTACTGTGTTTCTGGATTTGTCAAATGTGAAGAAAGCGTGGCGTGGCATGGCGTTGTTGTTATTGTTGCTGTGGTTGTTTTCTCTCGTCGGGCGTGCAATGCTTTATCAAAAATCGCAGTGAAAGGCGGGCGCTCGAATTCAGCTTTGCTCAATTTATTCGACCACCTTCAGCACCTTGCCAATGGCAATGGTTTTGTCTGAAAGTTAAAAAATAACGGTTAGGCGGATTTTTCGATTAATATGAGCAGAGCACTTACTTTCATCCCTGAGCGTAAAACGTCCCATTTGTGGGAATAGCTTAAACTGTTCAAGGCAAATCATTCCAGAGCACTCTATACGCATTATTGCAACCTGATCTTGCTTAACGAACCGTGGACGTGTTTTTGATTTGTCGCCAGTCTTTTTGTCGACCAAACAGATGAGGGCCTATTTAAAAGAAGCAATATATGTAGTTTACTTTTTAAGTGTTTTATGGGATAAAAGGGAAACTCACCTTAACTGTGACCTCTTCGGCAGCGCAGTGTATGTGCATGACAGCCGAGTAACCCGCACAGATAATTGATTTGTGTTCTAAGATTACGACCTGAGCATCAAAGATTTTTCCCGTTTTAATGGGATTAGCGGCATCGCAGAGCACAAAACCTGGCGAGACATCCTCCTCCTCGATGCCCTAAAAAAATGGTTAAATAAACATTTACACGTTAGTAAAAAAATAACTATAAATTCAAGACTTAAACGAATATTATACCCTTGCAGAGACGTGTTATAAAATAAGATGAATATATTTTTGATATGCTCAAAATGTCGAATTTGCAAAATGGACTTATATTATTTTGTTTGAATCAAACTTTTGTCCAATCGAAATTGGATTCCGATCAGCCAATTAAAATATATTCTTGCAAATAATTGGATTTCTAAAAATTAGATGTTATATATAATAAAACATTTTTGTGATAGCCGTAAGCATATATTAACTTCCATTGGTGTCTTTCGATAAAGTGGTGTGTTTTAATTACAATTTAAAAAAAAATCCCCATATTTTAAAATAGTATTCAATCAATTCTAAATCTTTATACCATTGTCCTATATGATAAAAATACTAAAGATTTGTGTTAAAAAAATTAATAAACCTTTTTAAACCTTTATCACATATGATAAACTATTTAAATTGAAAATTAAATAAGAGAGAGTAAAAATTATTGGCAGACACAATAGGTACAATATTGTAATCCATTTTAGCACTACTAGGAGGAACATATTTTTTTATAAGATATGAAGTATATGTATTAAAAATTATTAACTTACTTTCAGCTTGATCTTGACGTTCTCGCCGGGACCAACAGATGTGACTTCGAAGTCGTCGGAGAACAACTGATCCACCGCCACTTGAGTCTATTAAAAACGTAAAATCAGTATAAATCCGATTGTTTCCTAATTTTAAACGGAAAAACTCACCCTATTTGGCATTACCAACAGGTTCTGACCCTTGCGCGCCATTCCAGACTCAACCTTGCCCATCACCACGGTGCCCATGTCCTTATACTTGTCAACGATGGGCATGATGAAGGGCCCATCAGACTTGCGGTTGAGCGAGGGCAGCTCGTCGATGAACGGAATAAAGGCGGGCCCCCGGTACCAGGAGCAGAGAGTCTCCGGGACTTGGTCCTTGAGCCCGTAGCCGCTGAGGCCGGAGCAAGGCATAAAGGTAAGGTCCTTGGCCGGGTTGAAGCCCAGCTTCTTGAGGTATGGTAGTATCTTGTCTTTGCATTCGTTGTAGCGCGTCTGATCCCAACTGACCGTGGGGTCATCCATTTTGTTGACCAGTACGACCAGATGCTTGACGCCGGCGGTCTTTGCCAACATGGCGTGCTCGCGGGTCTGTCCACCCCGGTCGAAGCCGGTCTCGAATTCACCCTTTCGCGCTGATATGACCAGCACGGCAAGATCGGCCTGCGCCGCCCCTCCGATCATGTTCGGCACGAAGCTCTTGTGGCCGGGCGCGTCCAGGATGGTAAAGTGCTTGCGGTCCGTCTCAAAGAAGGCGCGCCCAACCTCAACGGTTTTGCCCTTGTCGCGCTCCTCCTGGTTGGTGTCCAGCGCCCATGACAAATACCAACTTTCGCGAGACTTCTCACGAGCCTCTCGTTCGTACTTCTCCAGCGTCCTCTTGTCTACCATGCCTGTGAGGGACATGATCTGTCCGCCGATTGTTGACTTGCCAGCATCTAAGCGATAGAAAATCACAATGTCAGTAACCGAGGGGTTTGACAGCAGCCATATAAATAACGGTAACTCACCAACATGACCAATGAACACAACATTCACGTGCTCACGCTTGCTTCGGTTTTCCTCCACCTTGACCACCTTCTTTTTGGTCACCTTGGGCGTGGCCTCTCCCTCTGTGAACTCAGCATCCTCGACCTCTTCATCCTCGGGCGTGATCACAGCATCGTCCACATCCCAGCTGTCAGCGGGATCGGTTTCTAAATACAAAATAAATAAATAGTCGTTAGTTGAATCAGTTACATGGGATTCCACGGTGTTGGGTGATAGAATGCTTTTAGTTGCTGGGTAACAGGATATCATAGCAATCGCGGAAAGTCCATGATTGTTTGTTTTTTCAGAAATAGTTGTACCAACGAGAGATAGTTCAATGTGGTAATGTTTGTTTGGGCTTTATTAATAACATTAATGGGTTAATGGAAGCAAACTAAGATAATTTTAAATTTATTTACACAAAAATATATAAATATGTAAATTAAAATATTGTTGCTATTAAATATTATTTGTGTATGATGTATGTACGTATGCATCAGAATAATCTGAGCATTATGGGTTTTGCCAAAAGTCTCATAAAGGCGAAAACATTCACTGGATTAATCTAGTTTTAAACCGAATAAATAAATGGCTTTCGCAAAAAATAATATTATTTTCCACATCATCCTATAGATTGGATAGTGTAAGTCATATTTTAACTTTAACTTTTTCTATCCTTACAAAGGGAAGCCTATGCTTATGTATTTTGCATTTGCAAGATGGAAACGTGTCTATTTTCTAATTGCATTACTTGCTATTTTGGTTGAGTTAACTTTTTGTTGTTCATTTTTTTCAAAACTTATTCATCAAGTACACACTCTCTACTTTTCCATTTCGCCCAAGAGACAGCTGAGCCAATACCTTCGTTTTCAAAGCATTTAAATTTAGGTCGACTTGTAGAGCACTTGTAGATGAATTTAACTCATGGGAATTACATTGAAACCAAGTTGAGGTAAGACTCTCCTGAATATATGTTTTGTTTATTGCCAATCGGTGTTAGTCTGGTAACTACTACCACATGCACTCTCCATGTTTGACCTGGCGGCCACATGCTAATTGGTAATTACTGGCTTTAGCCAGCCGGATGAGTCATGTGCCGGATTGGAGTGCTGGTGACAACGTGCTCGATTGAAGGTGGATTTTTAGAGTGAGGATCCCGAACCTTTGCCTTACAGGAGACACCATTTGAAGAGGAGGGTTGGTTTCCAGGTGGTACTTCTGGATCCTGACAAATATATAAACAAATCCCGACTACCGACTACTAACTTTTTCTGCACTGCGACATCGATGTTTTCTTGGAGTAAATGTAGCGAGAACCGGCGCTCTTACTCATAATGGCGATACATAAAACTCAAATCGAATGGGATTGGTAACAGGAGCGGATAGATGAGCGAGCTGCGATCGCGCGAAAGTGTAAGAGCCAACAGCACATTTTTAGTCGTTTCAGCTGCCGCACAGCGCCAAACGCGATGGAAGCGGAATCGGGTTCGAAGCGGTTTCAACCGCCGGCGAGCTGCACTAAGCGCTTCCATTCGGGCCAAACAACTACAATGTGGCGGCAGTGGAGTCGCTGAGATAACGAGTGAGCCAGCTGAACGGACGCCCATGCCATTCCACTTCATTCCAGTCCGCGAAGCGAAGCTGGGCGCAGCATAGGCTCCAATAAACGGCTGGTAGAAACGCAAACGTGTCAAAAACACAGAAATTGGAGATATTTGCAAGTGTGAGTGCGAAGAGGGTGAGGAAAATGGCCAAATAAACGTCGGGACAAAGAGTAGCGGGAGTAAAATGTCAGCGCAAACAGCTGCTCGTTGGCGTCGCATGGCGAATGGCAAGTGTGTGAGTGCCCGCTGGAAATGAGTCGTGAATGGGAGCAGTGGATCAAGTGACTGTGACTTGTGCAAAATATATATCAAGGTATTGAGACAATTCAAAAGCCGGGAGAAGCATTTCATTTGTTTTTTTGAGATTGTTAAAAAAAATCACTGCCTACAAATGAAGACATTTACAGAATAAATATTTAAGTTAAAGGAAAAGATTAACATTAACTATACATTTAAAAGCCGGGGGATACATTTGATTTGTTTTTCTGAGATTGTTAAACAAAGAGATATAAGATAAAGATATTTACAGAATAAATATTTAAGTTGTAGGAAAAGATTAACATTAACTATTAAATAAACAAAAAAACGTTAAAATACATTTTTAATAAGAAATGATTATTTTTTAAATTTTAAATCCTAATTATAAAAAATAAATACTTTACATTAAATAAAAAAAAACTGTTGTTTTAAAGACAGGCACATCCCTTAATAGTGAAAAGTTATTTTTCCCGCCACACGAATGCCTTAAATAGCTCTCAAAGTACTGTGAAGTTAACTTCAGAGTAATAAAACTAACCCATAAAAAAAGTTCGTGCCTATTTGTATATATATTATTTAAGGCAAATAAGTTATAAACAATTGCAAGCATGCCATGAACTGATTACAATGCTGTTTAATGCTTTTTTTTAAAGGCGTTAATAAGTTTAAAAAGTTTGACGACTAAGTGATCTCTTTCCATGACATATTTATCATACCTAAATATGAAATATCTGATACTAGTTGGAAGTATGGAAATAAGTATTTGAATGCACGCAGTCGGTATACAAAAATCTAAAAAGTGATTTAAAAATCTGGTACAAATATGTGATCAGACATATAATTTCTTGAATACAAGTTTGAATAGCATACATAAATTGTCAATTCTAATTGGGTTGTATTATATAAAGTATAAAACAATGGGTTTTCTGCATATAATAGTTAAGAAACAGGTATTTCACAAGTGAATGGCCGCGATCTGCGCATCTCTGCGATAAGCTCACCGCTGGCGACACGACGGCGTGAAAAGCTGCCAAAGAAAAGGCCCTGACCAACGGTGGTTTTTGCGTCCAGGCCAAAAGAGATTAGCCGTTTGTTTAACGGCACAATAATGCCTGCAAATCGAATAAAGCAAGCAACACATGCGACGCCGACTGCAGTGCTGACGCAGATTGAGGTTATGTGCGGCCACCGATAATAACCTAAACTAAACCCAACGAATGCAACCTTTCTTCGGGGTTTTCCTTTCTTGTACCATTCCCCTCTTTTCTTTCTTTCTGGTCTTTCCACCAGCAGGTAGCAACAATAACACGCTTCTTTGTTGACGTCACAGGGAAAGAGTTCAATGGACGTGGGCGGTGAGGTTCGGCGAGGGGTTAAAGGGAGTTTGGGTTGGGGGCTCTATTTACCATTGTTTGCGATTTTGTCCGAGGGGTTGAGACCTTCGACGGGCGTTGGAGCAGCAGCCGCTGCCGCAGAAGGCGTGGTGGCAGGCGAACCCGGCGCTGGCGATGCGGAATTGGAGGAGGAAGTGGGTGGTGCCCCTGCCCCCGCCGTCGTCTGTGGAGGAGGAGCTGCGCCCGCTGTGGATCCCCCACTGCCGGTGGAGTCGGGTGTGGTGGCTGGCGTGGCAGATCCTGAGGCGGGAACCGGACCCGGATCCGTGGCAGTGGGGGGCGGGGTCGGCGCCTGAGCATCCGCCTCCTCCGCCGCAACCACAACTGCTGCCGCCGCTGCGGCCACGCTGTTGTAACTGAAACTGGGCACAAATTCCACCGCGTTCACATTCAGCGTGGAGAACTTTGTGCTGATCTCTGTGTTTTCCTGGGCGGCCATGGTTCCAATGCGGTGCGGTTTCTCTGTTTTCCGATGAAAATCTCTCGCTTTTTTCACGCGACACACTTTCGCCCTCCTTCAAACGGCTGCTTCTTCTTTCTGCTCCCGCACTCACACAGAACACACGCGGTCGTTTCGGGATTAGAAATGGAAATACGGGAATGGCAATAGCACTAAGAAACACACACGCCTTTAAGGTTGATGGCCGGGTGACTTGCGGGGGTTAAAGCCAGACTTTCAACTCAATATGGTCTACACTAGTGTTGTGATTCGGTGTTTTGTTGTGTGTGCTACCCTGGCCAACTTCGTTTTAACTGTTTCCCTCTATTCCTTGGTTATCGGTTGCTGGAGGCAGTGGTGACCACCTGATGACCTGCAGGTGCAATTAGACTACCTGAACACTATGTGCAGTGCTTGAAATTAGCAATCTTATATTATTTTTACACGTTTCAAGCCACGCATCGAGTCAGGGTTGTCACAAACATAAAATTTTATCGGAGTATCGATAGGTGAAACTACAGTGGAGCCTAATAGCAGGCCACAGATCGTACATTTCTTTACATTTGAACTTGACATTACATTTGAGTTGACAAAGCTGACAAATGTGACTTTAAGCTATAATTTTACAGTTACGAAAGTTGACTGTTCTTCGTTACTAATCTATTATCCCATATATTTATAATAGATATCGATATTTTCGGGTGACCATTTATGTATATTATTGGAGCAGACAACTATTAGCGGAATGGTCCTTGAGGTTTTTCCGTGCCTTATCGTTCTTATCGTGCAAATTTGCCCAGAGGCGTAGAAGGGAGGATATGGGGTTTATTTATTATCAGAATGGCCGTAAACTATTATTTAAAAGTTCAGGTAAAAAAGTATTTTAAACACAGTTTAATAAATTTCAAAATCGCCTTGTCGGCTTTTTTGGATGGTGAGCCACTAGTTTTACATTTGTAAAAAATCTCTAGAGTTCCACTGGCACGTGCATCGTGGGATTAAGGTTTTAATATCAAAACATACAAAATAGTTGTAAAATTTAATTATGTCAATATAATACAAGAAGTGAGAGATATTTGTTTATCAGTTTGATAGAGGTTAAATGGCAAAAAACCTTAAATTAACATATACTACGATTATATGCCAAGCTTGTTTGCAAATACGAAGAAGATATATATTTTAATTAGTAATAGCTTTTGTGAATATTAAGTTCCGAAAAAATATGTGATTGTTCAAATGGATCTGTGCTTAGTGGGATTCGGAGTTTTACATCTGTCAAAAATCTAAACCGTTCCGGTGGGGTATGCTCTTTGGAAATATGCTTACAAATAGCTTACCCAAACTATCGTGATAGCTTAAAAGGAAATCGAAGGCAATATCTCCACTATCGATAATTCTATCGATGTTTTGACAGCTCAACCTCAACACACGGCCACACTGAACGAACGTCACTGGTGCCGGACGCCATTTTAGCAGAGGGAAAAAAATTGTCGCCAGATAAACTCGCTTTTCGCAGTCGTGTGTTTTGGGTGAAATAAATATTTCTATATAGACAATGAGTAACGGCGCAAGTGCCGGGGGATTGGGCGCAGCGCGTCCGCCGCCTAGAATCGATGGAATGGTCTCGCTGAAGGCAAGTATCTGTAAAAAATAAATCACTTACAAAATGGCGGCCGGCTGGCAACGTTGCCCGGTTAGATAACCTCTTTTCGGCATGTAAATCAACCAGAGCGTATTATTATCCCTCAGGTCGACAATCTCACATACCGCACCACGCCGGAGGATCTGCGTCGGGTCTTCGAGAGATGCGGCGAGGTTGGTGACATCTACATACCCAGAGATCGCTACACGCGCGAGAGCCGCGGTTTTGCCTTTGTTCGGTAAGTATTCGCGTTTCGAGTCCTATTCCTGGAAAACAGACTTATATAGATATACATAACTTGCAGGGCATCTTGAAAATATTCTATTAAATTAAAAGATTTTTTTTATATGAAGTTTATTCGAGCCTCCATTTCTCCTAAAACATTCTACCATAGTATTATGTCCACAAATATTATTTTGAACAGAAGAGTAATAGAATAAATGCAAATATTTAAAAAATTGTCACTATTAAAAACATCTTCACTTTGAAAAAAAACCTCCACTATTAGCCAGGTTTCCACAAAAGAAGCCATTCCGCCAAAAATAATCTTGAAACGCAGCGTGTTTTTCTAAGCATTAGAAATAAAAAGAATTGGCATTATTGGTTATTACCGAATGTGTATCAGTTAATAATCTGTACATTTTCTTTAACAATGGGTGCCAGATAAAATGTGTTCACTTGCAACTGTTGCCTACTCAACTACTACTAGCCAACATACTGAGAATACAACATCTAACCAAGTGGTCACATCCCGTGTCAAAGAAAACATAGTTAACGATTTATATTTGTTGTATTACCTTTGAATTAGTTTCAGATTACAGTCAAATGTAATCTTTAAAGATGTTTTGCCATTTTTTATAATAGAAGACAGCCCATACTCGGGAAGGCATTATTATTAAACAGGATTTGCATTATTTGTTATCATCGAAGGTGTATCAGTCACAAATCTGTACATTTTCTGTAGCAAAAAGGTGCCAGATAAAATGTGTTCACTTGCAACTGTTGCCTACCCAACTCCTACTAGCCAACATACTGAGAATACAACATTTAACCAAACTAATTACTTACGATGATCAAAAGAGGAATGGAAGAATGATAATCATTTGTTACATGTTTGTTACCGAAAAAGTGCAAAACTTTAACTGTGTTACTAGTCAAATTACTGAGAATTGGACATATTTTTATACCCTTGCAGAGGGTATTATAATTTTGGTCAAAAGTGTGCAACGCAGTGAAGGAGACATCTCCGACCATATAAAGTATATATATTCTTGATCAGGATCACCTCCTGAGTTGATATAGCCATGTCCGTCTGTCCGTCTGTCTGTTTCTACGCAAACTAGTCTCTCAGTTTTAAAGCTATCGAATTGAAACTTTGCACACACCCTTCTTTCCTTTGCACGCAGTATATAAGTCGGAACGGCCGGGATCGGCCGACTATATCCTATAGCTGCCATATAACTGAACGATCGGAAATGCCATAACTTTGGTGTTTTTAAAGTTAGGAAGTTGGGATTTTCTATGGGTTTTATTTTTGGCCAATCAATCTGACCTACCAAACTTCATAAGGATCGACCGACTATATCCTATAGCTGCCATATAACTGATTGATCGGAAATGCCATAACTTTGGTGTTTGTAAAGTTAGGAAGTTGGGATTTTCTATGTGTTTTGTAATTGGCCAATCAATTTGACGTACCAAATTTTATAAGGATCGGCCGACTATATCCTATAGCTGCCATATAACTGATTGATCGGAAATGCCATAACTTTGGTGTTTTTAATGTTACGAAGTTGGGATTTTTTATGAGTGTTAAGAATGCATCATATGAATAATTTTGGAAAATATAATTTACAGAGTATTCTGCAAGGGTATATCAACTTCGGCTCCGCCCGAAGTTAGCTTTCCTTTCTTGTTAGAATTTAAGAACTACTTTAATCAAAAGATCAAAGGAATTACAAATGTATATTGTGCATTATTTGCTATCTTTGAATATGAATCAGATTTCAGTCTGAACATTTTCCTTAGCGAAAGGATGCCAGATTGACTGTGTTTACTTGCAACTGTTGCCTACCAAAACCCTGCTAGCCAACATACTGTGAACCCCACAATTAAATTAAGATTTAAATAATTTTTTATTTTTTACAATAAAATAATGTTCAACGATCCTATAAAGTTCCTGTCTAATATTGCAGCTTCTATGACAAACGTGATGCTGAGGACGCACTGGAGGCCATGGACGGTCGCATGTTGGACGGCAGGGAGCTCCGTGTCCAGATGGCTCGCTACGGCCGCCCGTCGTCGCCCACTCGCAGTTCAAGCGGTCGTCGTGGCGGAGGAGGTGGAGGAGGATCTGGCGGGCGTCGCCGCTCACGATCCCGCTCCCCGATGCGTCGACGTTCGCGCAGCCCGCGCCGCCGCTCTTACTCCCGTTCCCGCTCGGCTGGCAGTAATTCGCCGGAACGTCGCTCCAAGTTCTCGCGCAGTCCGGTGCGCGGCGACAGCCGCAATGGAATAGGGAGCGCAACCGGGGCACTAGCAGCAGCCGCATCTCGCAGTCGCAGTCGCTCCTAAATATCAAAAAACGTTCCAAGATGTGAGAGTGCGAGGTGGGTTCCATATAGTACTAGTTTATTTCACATTTATAGCCAAGGCCTAATTCTTGATCTGATGTTAAATTTTGACCAAACAAAAACACCTCTTAAGCTGGTAAAAAAAAGTCGTGACGAACGAACTTTCAATATAAACATTTCTAATATCAAATTTTGTGAATAAAAATGATAAATTATTCCACTTTCTAAAATTTTCTGATTCAGCTCTCTCATCGAAAAAATTAAAAAGCTTCTTGTCTTAATAGACATTTTTTATTTCATCCTGCAAAAAAAAATTATATAGTCTTTTTATTTCGTATGATTTTAGCATCACTTTCATTGTCCACTGCCTCTAGAAGATTTGTGCTCGACAACTCTTAACTAAAGTTCAAATATTTATGAATTTGTCGTTCGATAAATTCAACTTTGTCTGACAGATTTTAAACTAGATCCTTAATATGGCATTACAAATCAATCAAAAAATAAAAGTAACAATAACATAATAATGTCTTTTTCATTACAGAAATGGCTCGCTGACAAAGCCCGATTTCGATTCCTGTTACGAATCTGTGGCTCCTCCTGTGTCATGCTGTACCAGAACAGCAGGTATACAAACCATTAAACAGTCTTACACTTTACACAACTATTTATAGCGAACTATTTTAAGTTTCGGCAGAGTAAATAAGTAGAGAACAGGCATGTAATTATGTTCCGAGCGAGATCCCTGCTCACTGGGCGATCCCTCGATGTCGGTTCTTTCCAATTAGGCTTTTGATATACTTAGTAGCGTAGAAAAAATCCTTGAACAAAACCAGAAACAAAACATAATAAACTCAAATTAACACGGCTTCAATTTAATACCCAATATTAGATGACAGACAGGAGGAGAAAGAGAGGAGGATGAGTGATAGTACCCTGTTTGTTTCGTTGCGTTGCGTTCCGTTCCGTTCGATTCTATTTGATTCGATTGCGTTTGTGTTGCTCGTTTCCGTTCTTTGTACCTTTTAACGACAAACTTATTAACAAGCTTCTCCCACACGTTTATTATATACATGCAGGCAATTGGTGTGTGGCAGTTGTTGCGGTTCAGATAAGATTGTGTTTAAATCGCGAGGGATGATCAGCAGCAGCGCATCATCTAAGCTACAACTCCTTCCTCCCGGGAGCGGACATCGCATGGCTGCTGTTGCTGCTGCTGCAGATGCTGTTGCTGTCGCACGTTGCTGTTGCTGCTGCTGTCGCTCGTTGCTGGTGCCGCTGATGTTGCAGTTGCAGCTTCCTGTTTCCTGTTAGACGCTGCCACAGCTCCAGATTCTGCGATTCTCCAGCTTGGGAGCTGGGAGCAGCAGTCACTCATAGTTTCCTGTTTCCCGTCACTTCTTCTCTCGTCTCGTCTCATCTCGTCTCGATTTGTTGCTGGTTGGCGTTATTGGTGGTTTCCTGTATGTTGGTGGGCGTCCCTTTTGAGTTTAGGCGAAAAAACATTTCCAGCAGAGTCATGCCGATGTTGCAATGCATTTCGGAGTTGGGACTTCCAATCATCACTCGATCTCGATGGATTTCTTTAAGGAACTGCTAAATTGGGTGAGTCTAAAAACTAACTTTTTTATTGCAGCTGAAAAAACGATTCAATAAAATGTAATTTCATTTAAATTGTACCTAAACATTGATTTTTTATTTGGAAAATGGTTTCATTTTCAGATAACTTAGAAAAAAAGAGCGGGGCAGCTTAAACAAATGTATTTATTTTTTAGCTTTGCTCAGATACTTGGTTGTCTAAACTATGATATTTTCGAAAGCGTTTTTTAATTTAAAAGTACGATACTGGCATTGTGTAGACTGCTTGTGCACACTTGTATCCAACCTTAACTAAAACAAAACAAAATTTTAAATTATGTGTCCAACTATAATTTATTGGAATAACTTGCAGTCTTAAACCGCTTAGAGCTAGCGTAAAAACAATATTACCAATTTGCTCAATTATTTATTTACAAAATGAAGAGAAAATACAAATTAAAGAAATATATTTTCTAGGATGTGGTTTCGATATACCAAAGAAGAAATTGGTCTGCCATAACCAATTTCCCCCATTTCTTTTTAATGACTATAACTCGGGCTTATAACAAATTGCTTAAAGTTTTAAGGCCGTTTCCATTGGCACCAAAAACATGGCAATCGTGTGTTTTATTGACAAAACAGTTGCCGGGAAACCGAAGGCAAATCACAAATCCAAGTTGTTCTGAAACCAGTCCATCATTTTACCTCAGGTTCGCCCAAAATTAAATAGATTCCTCCTTAAGATGATTCAGTACGACACTGTGCAGGTTAAAAATGTTTCCTGGTGAGCTTAATTCATGATTTTTTTAAGGTCGGATAAGTATTGTTTTGAGTTCTTAGGCAGCCAGAACTGCAAACGGAGGGCACCTATGTGTGTTCCTTCCCGGAGCCACCGCCGCCGGAACCGCACTTGAACCCGGGCACCTGGCATGGCCACCTGGAGCCGTATCAGCGGCTCTTTTATCACCAGACTATGAATTCGGTGCGCTCGAGCAAACGCTACCGGGCCAATCCAAACGTTCCAAAGGACACTCTGGACTTCTCGCTGCAGTCGCGCTACGACCACACGCGGGAAGCCTTTCCGGACAAAGTAGACTACGTCATGCAGCGAGAGACGTGCCGAGCAATAAGCAGCTGGTCGGCTTCCGGGGCGGCTAAGGAAATCGGGGCCCAGTTCAAGTCATTCCGGGTGTTGCGCAACACGCGTTTCATTCGCCGCAAGCAGGAAGACGTGCTAGGTCATCCACTTCGCATTGGTAAGGGGGTCCTTTAAAAACTAATTTTTTAACTTCAAAAGATATTTACGAGATTTTAACTAGCCTAAAAACTATTTTTATAAGAATATAGAATACAAAACACATTAGTTTTGTAAAGTTTTCAAATAAGAATTAAGCCGATTCTAAGTTCCATAGACCAAAAAAAAAAAGTGACAAAGGTATGTTTTTCTGAAAAATGTACTACCAAAGGCAATGTCTTAAAAGTTTATTCCAAATATATTATTAAGAGAGGCAGTAAAAATGGTAATAGAAAAATATACATCAAACTTTAGGTCAAGGCCTTTAAAGATCTTAGTTCTAGATCTAGTTTAAATATGGTATCTACTGTACTGGTCAACTATTTTTATAATCAATTTGATTTAATTCCAGGCGGCTGTAAGGAAAAGATCCACCCGCATAGTGTGAAGCTAATTTGTAGCGGCGTCCATAACCAGCTGATCAACAACGGATTTTCGCGCCAGACCTCCGACGGCAATTTCTTCCGCTATTAATACTGCGAAGATTTTCCCAGAAAAAAAGAGTTTCGTGTTTTGGATTTTACAAACATTATTGGCAATAAATTTGTAACACAGAAGCAGTCGTCACGCAGACGCCTCCAGCTTGGGCTGCTTGGCCACATGAGCCGCATCACCCTCATCTTCCACCGCTTGTGGGGCATCTTTTTGGTCCTCCTCCGCTTGCTGTTGCGATGTTTTGTGACGCTGCTTCTTGTTCTGGTTACGGTAGCTCTTTGGCAGTTTGTTGTCACCAATCCTAAAACGGGCGGGTGTTTAAAAAGTGGAAATGAATGGCTCAAGTATGTGGCTTACATGATTGTGGCCCTGGTTCCTGGTCCCCAATGCGGAGTAGGATTCTCCTGGAAACGTGATAATGCCGATTTACGGCTCTTCGGGTTGGCCTCCGGGTGAAGTTCATCAAACTCGTAGTCCGCTGTGGCTTTCTTCGAAAGTATGGCCTCCAGAGGAGTACCGGGAATCATCCGCTCGGGATTCACCGGATGCCGCTTGCTCCAGCTGCGCAGAATGTCCCACAGCACAGCTGGTGGCGCATTAGTTTTCAGGGAATTCTTCGAGGCATGCGAGTAAGAGACTCGATAGCCCGCATGGAGAATAGCAGACCTGAACTTCAGCATGGGCACAATCTCTAGCTTGAGCACGCAGCACAGTTTGTCAGGTGTATAGTACAGGGGAACATCCTGTAACTCCTCCTGGACCATGGAAAGCACTCCAACGATTCTCCTTTGGGTGCCCAGGGACTGCAACGACGTCTCCTGGACGGCACTCAACAGATCCTGGACAAATTCCGGGTTATGTATCGGAGCTGACCAAATGGGTCCACCCAGGTGGTGCCTGTGGCCGCAATGCTCGCACTGAGAATTGACCGCCGGACCAGTGGGTATGCCGTACTTCAGCTGATGGGGATTTCCAGCCGTGGGATTCGGCTTAGTTGTGCCCAAGGGTTGCAGCGTGAAGGTCTCGCACCCCGTGCACTGGTATATCCAAGACTGCTTGCTCATCGACAGCTTGCACTGAGCTTGTCCGGCGTAGACTCGAACAAATATCCGGACGTAAAAGTCCGCTGAGATACTCAGCAAAGGTTCGATATATTTGCCGTGCCTATTCGCATGGCTCTCGATGCAGTGAAGCAGGATGCGTAATGCCATCTCGTGGCAACACTTCATCCGCAGCGGCACAGACCCGTACTTCACATAGCACGCCTCCGGAGCATTACCGGCCAGAACAGCCATGTCGGTGGCGGTCACTAGGAGCAGTCCCCCATCCACTAGACACTGCATAGCTCCGTCCAGGAAGCGATTTGGACATCCGTAGGGATCCAGGTCCACGGCATCAAAGCGCTTCTCTTGTTGTGTCGAAAGATACATAAGGGTCCTGTAAGAGACATACTATTAGATACAGTAATTGAAAAAGGTTTGCCCCAGAACTTTCAGTTTTAGGATTCTTAGAGGGAGATGCCCCATCGGATTACTACAATGAGAACTCTTCCCTTTACGATATATACATATAATAATTATCTATCTGTTAATATTGAAATGTTAAATTGAATAGGTGTTCAATTAAGATACATGTACTAAGAAACATATTTTGATAAAATTTCACCAATCTTACTACCCTTTCTTTTTTGGCGCGTAAGATGAGGACTTTTGTAACTTCGGACTGAATATCTTGAGGATTTCAAAGGATTTCTACTTGGATAAATACATCTATGTGACTTTATAATGCACTTACATGGCATCCGAATGACTGGGTTCGATCAGCTCCTCCACCTTGTTGTGCCGCACATTCGTTTTGATGGACTCCACCGCCTGGCGAGAAAGATCGTTGGCCACGATCTGGCGTACTCCAGCGATTTCCTGGGCATAGCGGATGCTCCGCAAGCCAGTGGCTGCCAGGGCCTCCAGAATCCGCAGACCATCCTCATAGCGAGTACCTGCCTCATAAGTGGGTGGATCCTCGGAAACCGGAGAGGGTTTTTCTTGATCCTCCTCTTTCACCTTCTTCCGCTGTTTTTTTTGCGCCTTTTCGATTCTTTCTTTAGTTAATCTCCGGTAGTAAACATTCAGAACGGAGATGCTCAGATCTCGATTAAATTCCTGGACAGGATTGTAGAAAACATTGCCGCCAGAAACGATCTCCGCGTTGCGTTCTCGTATAACGCTCTCATTGGGGTTCTCCGCAATAATCTGCAGTGAAATGGTTAGTTAAAATGCTTTACTTCAGGGGTTCTTCTTAACAACCTGCGGTTTTTCCTCGTCGACTTCCATTTAAAGGTGATAAAAATCATCCACGTGGGGCTGTGTTGGACAACGCGATAGCTTTGGTAGTGCTGAAAAACGCCATGTAACCAATAAAGCTATAGCTATCTAGCTATAAAAATGTACTAATTGCTTAAAAAATAGTTTTTTCGGAAATAAAAATGTATTGGCCTAAAAGTCTATCTAACTCTTTGAATTGAATAATTTTAAACAAATTTTGTGCACAACAAAAAGAAAATGGAATTTACAAAAATGGTAGATAATATATTGATTAAATTAAGAATATTTTGTAAACCGCCATCAAACATGGAAATGAATAGACCGAATCATTTTGCACTAGCCAAATTGCCATCACCGGATATATCGACACATTTATCGGGCCGTAGTCCACCCCTTTGCTTGATAAAGAAATTAATTTGCAGAAGTGAAGCAGCCGCAGCCGCAAACAGAAGCAAAGCATCTAGAAGAGATAAGAATTTTGTACTTTTATACAGCGCCACAAAGAATCCAAAGAATGACCGAACTGCGCAACGAGATGGACAGCGATCTGGACCAGAACTACTCTCTGAACAGCAATGCGGACCCAAAGAATATGCAGGAGCTGACCATTTACGTGAGTAATACCCGATCCGGGAACCACCCAGTAAATAGAGACCCAAAATGAGCACCCAGTAAAATCCGCCTCCTGTTATCAGGTACAAAATCTGTTGCAGAACGTTCAGGACAAGTTTCAGACGATGTCCGACCAGATTATCACGCGCATCGACGACATGGGCAACCGCATCGACGATCTGGAGAAGAGCATCGCGGACCTGATGAACCAGGCTGGGATTGAGGGCCAGGGCCCGGAGAAATGAGACCCGTAGAATCGCGTCGTCCGGACACGCCCATCTAAAAAGTGCATCCCAATACCATAAGATACATACATCGAACACCTGGCACCCAGTCACCCGAATCAAATTTACAATTCCAGGCTCTCACATTCATTTAATCTCCCTCGCACCCAGTTGCTCTAAAAACCCCACATTTGCTCATCCGTTTATTGCATAGTTCTAAGTTTCTCCCACATGGGGGCATCATAATTTAAGTAAAGTAATTCTTTTGTGAGCAAGGGCTAATAATTTTGAATTATTGCCGTTTAGTTTATATGTATTAATTAAAAATTTGAGAATTGTAAAATCCCTGTTTTCGGGGGGTTCAGGACTTCGATTTAACAACGGTTACCAGGCGACCTGCTCCCGAATTCTGCCTTCTCGTCTGCGGAGTTAGGGCGTTAGTATGGGAAAGGGGAGAGAAATGTCATTTCCGCTTGATTAGTTATGTTATGCATATATACATTCTTGTTTATCTGGAACAAATAATTCAAATCGTGAGCCGTGACCATTAAAAGTATATGCAAATCAGCGTTGACTACTACCTATATTCAGGTAAAGTGGGGATTTATTAAGTATACTATCCAGCAAAGGCTTGAATTGCATTTTCAATACTTTGCTTATAGAAATCGAATAGCCTGGGCAAACGATACATAGTACATGACTTCCTACCAAAAAAAAGTGGGCGGATTTGAAAATATATGTGTGCAGATAATTTAAAAAAGTTAAAAATATCAACACAAAAATATATGTGATCAAAGAAACCATTTGGAAGTGCGTATAGTAGTAAAATTTGGACGAGGTTTTTGAGAAAAAACAAGAAAGAAAAGCTAACTTCGGGCGGAGCCGAAGTTGATATACCCTTGCAGAATATTCTGTAAATTATATTCTCCAAAATTATTCATATGATGCAATCTTAATACTCATAAAAAATCCCAACTTCCTAACTTTAAAAACACCAAAGTTATGGCATTTCCAATCGTTCAGTTATATGGCAGCTATAGGATATAGTCGGCCGATCCTTATGAAATTTGATAGGTTGGATTGATTGGTTAAAAATAGAACCCATAGAAAATCCCAACTTCCTAACTTAACAAAAACCAAAGTTGTGGCATTTCCGATCAATCAGTTATATGGTGGCTATAGGATATAGTCGGCCGATCCTTATGAAATTTGGTAGTTCGGATTGATAGGCCAAATATAACACCCATAGAAAATCCCAACTTCCTAACTTCACAAACACCAAAGTTATGGCATTTCCGATCAATCAGTTATATGGCAGCTATAGGATATAGTCGGCCGATCTTTATGAAATTTGGTAGGTCGGATTGATTGGCCAAATATAAAACCCATATAAAATTCCAACTTCCTAACTTAACAAACAGCAGAGTTATGGCATTTCCGATCAATCAGTTATATGGCAGCTATAGGATATAGTCGGCCGATCCCGGCCGTTCCGACTTATATACTGCGTGCAAAGGAAAGAAGGGTGTGTGCAAAGTTTCAATTCGATATCTTTAAAACTGAGAGACTAGTTCGCGTAGAAACAGACAGACGGACAGACAGACGGACAGACGGACAGACGGACAGACGGACAGACGGACAGACGGACATGGCTATATCAACTCAGGAGGTGATCCTGATCAAGAATATATATACTTTATAGGGTCGGAGATGTCTCCTTCACTGCGTTGCACACTTTTGACCAAAATTATAATACCCTCTGCAAGGGTATAAATATAACTACCGCAAAGCGTTTTTTATGCTTGGTTTTTTATTATGTAAGTTTAGTATTATGTTATGTTTATTATTTCCAATGTGTGACTAAAAAGTCTGCAATACTGATATGACCTCTGGATGACTAGGAGCTCTAGTTTTGCTTATAATTTACGTGCTAGTGCTGGGGCACGTGAAACTGCTTCTGCAGCCTTACATGCGTGGATGCCACCGCCTTGAAAGGATGTTTGACCGTCTGCCTGGCTGGTTTCGAGGGAGCAGGAGTTGCACTCGCGCTTGACGAAGCCGTTGGAGCATCTTTGGCAGCGGATCGGATCTTGGCCCCAAACACATTCTCGCGAGGAGTGAGCTGGCTGCTCGGCTGGATGGGCTCCCTTTCATCGTCTGATGCGGTTCCAGATTCCTCTTCTTCCTCGCCACTTTGGTCGGTTTCCTGGGAGCAATAAATAAATTTCTTGTTGTCCATTCCCAGCTAATATCGACCCAGATCTTACCTCATCTTCGTCGTCATCCTCCTCCTCTTCCTGCTCATCAGTTTCCTCCTCGGGTTCCGTTTTACTCCCGTGGCTGATTCCGGCACCTGCCAAATTCTTGCTACTCCTGGATAATTTTTGGCGCCTCTTTAGCGGACTGACCAGGTGTTCATGCTCCAAGCTATCCATCGATTGGGATCGCAAACCCTTCTTAAGGGCCGCTTTTCGGGGAGTGGGCTCCTCCTTGGTCTTCATTAGCTTCTGAAACTCCAGGAAATCGTCGCGCTCATCGATGCTTCCTATATCATAGTAACTTGCGGAAAGGACCTCCAAAGCCTTGGTGTGCTGCTTCATGGAGATCAGGATAAAATCACTGATTATCTGCTTCAAGTCTCTCAACTTCCTCTGCTCGAAATTCCCGATGATATCGTCGATCTCTTTGTTAGTGCGCTGAACCTCCATTTTTGCCTTAAACAACTCTGAATCGGCAGCACTCTGGAAAGGTAAAATGGTAGATAATAATGGAAGTACTTAGCCTTTTTATTCACACACATTGTTGGCTGAAAACTTTGACTTGAGCTCCAGCATCTGGCGTTGACGCAGGACTTCCTTATCTCGGGCAATAACTGCGAGGCGTAGATTGTCCCGGGTGGACTTGCAGAGCTGCTCAAATTGCGCCAACTCGTTGACAATCTGGTCAAAATTTATAATAATTATATTATAATAATAAAATAATAACATACAAATTAATATTGAAATTTGATTTACAAAAAAAGGGAATTAAATAATAATACATAGTACCTAAAATATCTAACTAGCAATTTTTAAAATTCAAATTTTTAATGATTTTTGTAAGATTTTGAAATATGTTCGATGTATATGTATATGTATGTATGATAGTAAATAAATACATTTATACAGGTTTTTTATTTAAATACCCTACTTTGTGTTCCAAACGGTGCACATTGATGTCCATATAGTCGCCCATTATTGTGACTGCGTTGGTGAAGCTCTTCAGTCCTTGACAGAGACTCTCGTTGATTTCCTCGTCGTCCGCATAACTTTTTACACCCTTGGCCAACTCATCGAAGGAGTCGCGGTATCTGCAAGGAATCATAACTAGAGTCTTAGGTCAACCTTTTAAGGATACCCACTTGGCCATTTTCCTTGTCACCAAAGCAAATGAAGAACACATCTCCATTAAATGTCGTTCTGTTATGTTTATGCGTTCGTTGATTATTTTAATGCGATCGTCTTTGGTGTTCAGAAAGGATAATTTTCCACGGCGAAACATATTTACTTTGTTTGGCTTATTTTCTTTATTTTTTCTTTTGACAATAAAATCCAGTGAAAACCGTTACCAAGACAACGTAAAAATTCCAGTTGGCAACGCTGACTAATGTTAAAATCCAGCTGAAACGCTGTTAAACAAACGGCTCTGTTAAGAGCTACTGCCCAGAAGATGGCGCCATTGTCAGTTGTTTTTAAAAATGCATACATAGATGGCGGCTCGAATTTGTTTAATTTGTTGAACAAATATAAACAGTCTAAAAATAATTTTGGGGTTTGTACAAAACTTTCTGTATTTAGTTTGAAAAATATTCTTCTTCAAAAGTGTCAGGGTCAAGAGTACCATTTTATGTTATATTTTGCCTGTTGCTGTCAGTCATGACATGTGGCTATATTTAAAACGGAAAGATCCATGACTAACTAATAAGCTGCACATGCGAAAAAATAAGAAACAGAAAGAAAAAACATAAAAAAAGCTAACGGCCCTTTAATAAATTTAATTTTGGTATGTAAAAGTGTTAAAAGTGTGTAAAAATACAAATAAAATATAAGTTTGGAATATCTATATAATCACATTTGTTTGTACTTATATATGACAATTTATTTTGTTTGTATTAAATTTAAAGAGACCCGAATAAAACATTTATTGGGGTACTGAAATTCACAGTATTTTTCAGAAAATTAAGCTTTATTACGCGACATCTGAAGATTTGTAAATTGGAAGAATAATAAGAATCGTTTTATTGGTTATATATTATAAGCATTTGGTGATTGGTATATAAATAGACAATAATTTTTCCGAGAAACCGATTAACAAAAGTTTATCAAAAGATAAGCAAATTCGGATGTTAAGCATTTGCAAATAAGGCAGACTGTCTCTCATTTATTCTGGCTCTTCTCAATTTTAAAAGCCTTGACAAAAAAATCTTGTTTTTGGGGAATTCATTGGCTGGCAGCTCGACCGCAAGAATGTCGTGTGAACAATTAACCGAAAATGGAAATTAATTTTAAATGCTTTTCTGCCACTTAAAGGCATAGTGCAATCAAACCTGTATATAGCAAAACAAAAATAGCAGTTCGAATAAAACCAACGAAAGTGCAGTTAAACTAGAATCCGGTTCACGGGGCGACGACAAGAATTACAAGTTGTAGAAAACGATGAGTAGACTACTGAAGACTTCAACAGCTGTAGCTGCTGCGATCGAGATTTTAATCTGGACGAGAGCTACGTATAAAGGAACCCGGTTCCCAAGGGAGGTTCAGGGGAAGGGGCAGGTGAACTTCATTGTCAATCCAAGAACGTCTCCTGGCGCGCGTCCTCAGTCGCTTACTATACACAAAATACCTCCACCTCATTCTCATCCAGTATAACCATATTTTTCTTTGACGCTTTTGGCTATATGGTTTGAATTTCTGATTTTCGAACACCTCAAACTGTTTTGGCAAATAGAACGGGGCAGGTGGGTATCTAAAAGACTGGTACTAGTCCAGCAAGGAAAATAGAGAAATGCTTCCTTTATAATCTAATTTTTTCAACTAAAAAAGCTTTCAAAAAAATAATAAAGTTGCTATTAGTTGGAGTTGACTTAAATAATTAAACAAATAAATTAAATTAGATTAGATAAAAATTTGTAAATGTAAAAGTCAGTGCAAATATAAACGAGTCTACAAAATTTGTGGTTTATCATTCGAATACTTTAAATTGTATTCGTAGACGGTTTTAATTATGCAATTAAAATACATGGGCAAGAATAAATAGTCACGAATAAAGTCGCGTCGGGTATTGCTAGTCTGAACATTTACTCGTACTAATATATCTTAAAAGTAACAGACTTTAAAACATTTTAAAATGTTGTTTTCAAATAATTATTTTATTTTTTTTTAAGATTAAATTATTTAAGGGTGGGTATCGTATTAAAATTTTTTTTTAGCCTCTTTTTTTAAAATTTTTTTTCTGAATGCACAACATTTGAAGAATATTGAGTTAAAATTTTAGATTCATCCGAGTAAAACCAAAGTTATGGGCAGTTGAACGTAGTTGAGTTAGCTCGTTTTGTATGCGATTTTTCGATGTCCTAAACTTTAAAAACGCTCTCCTGAAAAGTTGCAATTTCAAAGTCGGTGAACACGATCCTGCAAAATCTACTAAACGAATCGCTTTGAAATTTTGCACACAATTTCTGTACCTAAATCCGCAGGTACTCACGTGAGTTTTGTTTTTATACCCTTGCAGAGGGTATTATAATTTTGGTCAAAAGTGTGCAACGCAGTGAAGGAGACATCTCCGACCCTATAAAGTATATATATTCTTGATCAGGATCACCTCCTGAGTTGATATAGCCATGTCCGTCTGTCCGTCTGTCCGTCTGTCCGTCTGTCCGTCTGTCCGTCTGTCCGTCTGTCCGTCTGTCTGTCCGTCTGTCTGTCCGTCTGTCTGTCCGTCTGTCTGTTTCTACGCGAACTAGTCTCTCAGTTTTAAAGATATCGAACTGAAACTTTGCACACACCCTTCTTTCCTTTGCACGCAGTATATAAGTCGGAACGGCCGGGATCGGACGACTATATCCTATAGCTGTCATATAACTGAACGATCGGAAATGCCATAACTTTGGTGTTTGTAAAGTTAGGAAGTTGAGATTTTCTATAGGTTTTATTTTTGGCCAATCAATCTGACCTACCGAATTTCATGAGAATCGGCCGACTATATCTTATAGCTGCCATATAACTGAACGATCGGAAATGCCATAACTTTGGTGTTTGTTAAGTTAGGAAGTTGGGATTTTCTATGGGTTTTATTTTTAGCCAATCAATCCTACCTATTAAATTTCATAAGGATCGGCCTACTATATCCTATAGCTGCCATATAACTGAACGATTGGAAATGCCATAACTTTGGTGTTTTTAAAGTTAGGAAGTTGGGATTTTTGATGAGTATTAAGAATGCATCATATGAATAATTTTGGAGAATATAATTTTCAGAGTATTCTGCAAGGGTATATCAACTTCGGCTCCGCCCGAAGTTAGCTTTCCTTTCTTGTTTTTACTTATTATTTTTCATTTCATAATAACAAATATATCGAATTTTTAGGCTAAAATCACGTTTTTGACTTGAAAAAAAAACTCAACGTAGTTACCTCTAGCAACATATTAACAAATTAACAATTTTTGTTTGGTTTTTTCTGATGATCCAGTAACGAGTTCTGCTGTTCACCGCAAAACCTTTCTTTCTTGGAGGCGCCTACGGAGCTTTTTTTTATGAAAATTTGTGAAAACGTAGTTTAAATGTTGTACTTTAATATGGTTATAAAATAATTGATCTGACATTAACCGTATTGCGTAAAAAAATTCATGAAAATGGACCATACCCCCCTTAATAAAACGATTAAACACTCTTAATAAAATCTGATTGCATATTGTATGTAAATAAATAAACATTTTATTCATCAAAACAGGTTTTTGTGCATCAGTGTGAGAATCAATAGCATTTTTACCATATTGAAATATTGAACTGTTGTTTATTTTATTTTATTTTTGTTGATCATTTTTGTATTTATAATTGTTCTAAAATATCCCTTAGGTTTTCAAACTAAACCTTTGTTATGATAGTAAGCTTGAAACTGTTGGTAGCTCCCAAGACCCTTCTTCAAGAATTCCAGTTCCCCCATCGCTCGCCGTTTCTCAGTCTCCCAACACAATCGCTCTTCTTTGTCTGAGCGGCGTGCTCTGGTATAAATGAAGCCAAATTCGTACGCAACCGTTTAGTCCGAAATATTTCGTTAAAGCCAACGCACGGCGAAGATCGCGCGTTCTGTACCGATCGAGCATTTTAAACGACCTACAGAAATAACTGTACGGCACCGGTGACAACAACAAAATTTATGCAAATTCGCGGGTGTCGGTGTGTGAATGTGTATAAAACAGTGTGCGTAAGCGATTTCCGCTTCGACGCCGACAAAAATGTTTACAAACAAACAATTCGAAGCTTGTTTAGGCTGTCTGCGCAATAATTTGCACCCCCTGATTTTTTCACCCAATTGCTTGCGAAATATTTACTTACTCTAACTTTTATGCTGCGCCCGGCATAAACAAATGCTTTCCATTTTAATCAGGCAATAAAAATGCTTTTAAAAGTTTATAGTGGTCAATTTGTACGACCTTGAAAAAGATATTTTAGTAAAATTTTGTTTCAACGCTACAAAAAGTACAGTAAAAATTTAATTGTTAAATTGAATGTCTAGCTTTAAAACTACATATGTATGTATGTATGTATGTAATTTTATTCCGAGCTTCTTATATTTACAATAACATGTTGATTAATCGGATTTTTAATGAAGGACTGCAGCTAGATTATTGTATAATAAATGTCAAATAAGATCATTCATAATCGAACATCCTATAACGATTTTCAATAAAACACCGATCTTTGGCCCTAACGTAAGCCAAGTCGTGATTGAACTCGGCTCAATCAAGGCGTGACTAAATTATCTAGGGAATTAACAAGAAGCACTTTATCATAAACAGTTAATTATAGAGAATCGCCAATCCGTTTAATCTTCAGCTCTGTTTTCTTACATGAATACGAACTATTGTTACTTTGTTCTATAGAATTTCCTATTGGAAAATAAGCAAATGAGTTTCCATTTAAGGCAAAACAACAACCTTGAACTCTAAGCCAAGCTCGTTTAGCAAGTGATTTAAGCAGTCGTCAAATTGACATAATTCCAGTCAATGAAAAATCGAAGTGGAATTAAATACGAATGGCAAATACAACGTAGAATAGAAAAACATTCAGCAACTGTGACAGGGACACGGCTAAAAACTCAAATAAAAATATAGAGGAATAGAGAGCCCGCGTGCAGTTAACGAAGCATAGACAAAAACTGATTAAGTAAATTGAAAACACACCACTAAATTTCAGGCAGGCACAAAGTCGGCGAAATACCCTTACCACTGAAAAGAATTTAAATTTCAAAATCATATAAAACAACAAAAAACATTTTTTAATCAACGTTGAATATTTATAAGTTATAATTTATTATTTTCTTTTTTAAGACCTTCTTAAGTTTAATGGCGTATTTTGTTTATTTTATATTTTGCTGATTTATACAATAAGTAGTTAATTTAAATTTTACTAGCGCAAAACTCATTAAGATTATTATTGTTTAAATAATGGTTTTAACTACCGATGTTTGTTTTAAAAACAATGTCTTTTGATAAATTTTCTATCATTTTTTGAATTTAACTTTTTGGGGAAATTTAATCATTTGGACTCTCTAATTTGTTGGTTCTTTTTGATGAGCTTAAGATTAATTTCTTTTTAAAAAAGTATTGCTGACTTCTTTTGTTTGTTTAAAAAATAAAGCGAATACTTAAAAATACATTATTCTTAGCTGTCCTTACAAAAAGAAAAGGCACAAATACAATTTTTTTGATTTATTAAGATGAAACTGAAAACAGACCTAGAAATTCAGAGTATTACTCATACTGCAACCAGTACAGTGGTGTCCCCGAATATTGCCCCAGTCGGCCGGCACAGTAAAACGTTCTTCCCACAACACTTGGCTGCCCATTTAGAATATTTATAAACCCAGCGACTAATTGAGTGAGAGGGAGAGTGAGAGAGCGGTCAGTTGTTCACTCACTCGGCTACTCACTCACTCGCTTGCCGTTTATTTGCCGCTTCCTCAAATTATTTAAGCGCATTTGACGATTGTTTGTCTTTCCACACAGAACAAAATCGAATCTGGTTGCCGGTGTACATCCACGTTTAAAAAACTTGAAACCCTAAATAAGCAAAAGTATTGACAAAGATCAAAGACAAGCTTAAAGTGCGTGAAAAAAGAAATACGAAATAAAAATGAAGCTGTGGCTCGGTGTATTGGTGACCGTGTTGGCCGTCAGCGGATGCTTTGCATTGCCAGGTGAGTTTTAGCCCTTTAGCCAACCTGTTGTAAAAATCCAGTTTTGGTGCACCCCATAAATTAGCATTTATTTTAAGTAAAAACAAAGTCCCAACCAGTCAGAAAACCGGTAAGGATCGCACTTTGTAAGCCTAAACATTAACATACAATTAGATAAATAAGGTAATTAACTATAAACAATATTACAACAAATTTTAATCAAAATGTGAAATGAATTAACTTTTTCAAAGCTTAATGATTTACATTTTATAAACGCCATCTGACCGGTGTGTAAATCGATGGAATCATCGTTTCAGATTTTTAATTCTCACTCACAAACTTGGCTGTCCACAATAATATACTATGTTATAATAATAGGTTATATGAAAGCGGCGACAACCTTTTGACATTATTAACAAAGAAAATTGATAAGAAATAAAAATTCCCAGAGAGCACACTTTTTATTTCTTAGTGTTCTGGTACATTCTGGTAGAATCTGAAAAAGCACTTCCGTGCAAATGCCAACAACGCAAATAATTAAATTTGATATCAATAATTAATATAAATATTTTGAAACTCTTATGTTGCCCTTTTTACAATCTCAATGTTTTCAATTAATATTTACGAATGTTTTTTGTTGTATTACCTTTGAATTATAAAAAAACAACGAACTAAACCCAAAGCTAATTTCTTTCATTCAAAAAACTATTCCCTTAGGTATTTCGAATTGTTTTAGGTAATATTTTTATCTTTTTGAATATTAACCATAATTTTTTAACAACAAAAGTTTCTAACTTGCTCAGTCAATTTATTTTATATAATTTCAAAAGATATTTAACCCGATTCCAAGGCATTTTAAAGTTTAAAGACGATTCTCTTTGCCGGATAATGATGGCATCTCCTGATAACAAAGCGAGACACTTGACAATCAGCCAAATGCATCTTACAGATACACAAGTGACTACAAATGGCAAAATATCTGAGGCTCTCGGATGCGCGGCGCAGCATCAGAGATTGAGATTCGGGGAGCTGCGTCCTTATTGTCATCATCAGCGTTTGCTGTTCGCTGCCTTTGGCTGCCACTTGAATGCATAAATTGCTGAAGAAGCTGCCAGTGAATTGCAGATGATGGGCGGCTAGTGGAAGTGGGCGTGGCCGTGGGTTGGAAGCTGCCACAGCCACTTGAAATTGTCAAATTCGCTGCAGTCCAAATCATTTGCAAGGAATATGAAAATTTTATGCAACACTCGTAAATCTCCATTTTTCAGCAAAGGTTGCTTCCGACTTATCGTTGCAATGAGTGCTTCAAATTATAGTGAAAGTTTTGCTAAATTGACGAGAAAACATGTCGACAGGTTTGCCAATTCTTAGTAAGGGGAGTATTTATTATTCATAAATGTATGGAAATTGTTGTTGCCCCTATTCCGTAAGTAGATTTTTGTTGAAATATATTTGGTTATTTAAAAAAATTCGAAAAAAATATTCTCAAATGCAAGTGATTGATTTCCAATTAGATAATTATATTCAAAATTATCTCACAGAAATATTCCATTGCTCTCAGTCAGATTAAATAAATTAACATAAAAATACAATGCTGGAAATGTGGAAATACTAGATCCAACTGGCTTTTTATCTCTTATTTATAAGCCATAAAATAGATGATGTTTACATACTTAGTGCTAATGTATTTCCTCTGGCTTCTTAAAATAATAGGTATTATTTGGCAAGTGTGCCTGTTGCAGCTTTCACCAATTTCAATCAGTTGAACGAACTCACATGTGAATATTATGCACCCAAGATCTGTCTTTAAATTCATTCCATTTCTCGGCCTGATTGCAAGAGAAATTCTTGAGCATTCTACACTGTTTGTTTTCTTTTCCTTTTTTCTTAATTTTGCTTTTATGGGAACGGATCATGCCAGTGTCTCATGGCCAACAGAATTGGGTTAATTATGGCCATAATTCGCGTTTAAGGCCTTTTTCCAGGGAATGTCTTTCTCTGGCCAGAACAAATTGCAACTGCATGTTGACATAAATCACTTTTTGTTATTTTTTTATTGCTGTCCGTATGTGGAACTATGCGTGGAGTAATAAAACTGAAAACAATTATGAAAATTATTTGTAAATTATTATATTGTTACATAGTTGGTTGTTGTTGCAATTTGTTTAATTTAGAGAGATATTTATTTGTGCAAATTGAAGTTAATTTTCCCTTATAAATATTTTGGTTATTTCTCTAATGAATAGCCAGATAATTAGCATTTTATTGCCGGCCTAAATCAGTGGCAATTGTGACCAAGTGGAAATATTTAGAGTTCATTTATTGGGTCTAAGCTCGTTATAGTAAATTGTTGACAAAACTGAGAAGCGGCAATTAATTGGGGTTTAATTCAAGGACGTTATACAGCCGTTAATACTTTACGTTATTAATAATATTTCTAAACAGAAAAGTTGCATCTGGCTTATGCTTTATTTCATTTTGTGGTCATCATTTAATTAAAACTTCAATTAAAGTAAACCAAATTCTGATCACAAAAATGTATTTTAAATGTTTTTAGTCTTCACCACAGATTTTAATCCACTCTAGAATTTATTTAATACCATCGTCAGACAAGGCTTATTAAATTAAAGCTTTCAAATCAAAGTCAATTAAACGAACAAATCGTTTAAATACAAAACACTTCTGTTAAATAAATAAAATTCCGAAGCTTGGTAATTTAATTTAAAATGACTTAACTTGACTCTGGTTTGTTGCCTTGGAGTTTTGGACTTTTGCGGTGAGTTAAGGGAAAAGAAAGAAAACAATGTGAGCTTTGTACATTCGAATTGAAAATTAAATAAAAACAAAAGGCCGCCGAGCAACAGCAGCTCATTCAAATTAAATGAAATTGTTTTTTTGGAATTTGATCTGCAAACTTTAATTGGTTGATTATTTTATAGAGTTTTTGTCTCGGCCTTGCCCTCTTTCTTTTTCTACACATACTTGTTCATTCAGAGAAAATTAAGTAAGCAACTTGTCATTTTGTGGTATTTTTGGATTACGCTTCAACTATGTTTTTCATTCACTACTTCGTTATTTTTTTTTAGTCGAACGATTTACAATAATACAATAAATTTAAAAAAGAAATGTTTGAATAATTTATTTTGTCAATTTTGTAGACCTTAAAATTTATTTTAGATGACAATATCTTTCTTTCGAAAAATCTGACAATTTTACACGACAGGTTACCTAGTGTTTCGAATTGTTGCTTTTTTATAATAACAACTGTTTCACTTGCAGGGAAATGATTAATCACTTTCAATGGAAACCTATACAAAAACTTTGTCGTTGTAACGCGACTGCGATCTAAAGAGGGAAAAAAGTAGATGAGAATTGGATGTTAGAATATGTGTTTTTCTGGGTGTTAGTAAAACTTTAAAGCTGGAGCTATAATCAATGGTTACAATAAGCCGGTTAAATAAATATTAAAAATCATAAGGTTAATTATAAGGTTTTCATTTTAAAAACATTTAAACGAAAATTACTGTTCGATAAAGAGTTTGATTAACATGTATAGCCTCAGTTTGACACAGGCACCCATTTCTATATAATATAATATTAAACAATATAAAATAAGTTTTAAACCGAAATCAATATCGAGGGTTCCCCTTTATGTCATTATATATGTTAAAATACGTTTTAATATACGTTTTTTAAATAATAGATTAATAAACATTCGCAATTTTTCTCGCATCTGAGTGGATAAGTGAGATGCCAATAATGAGATCTCTCTTAACGATCAATGAGTCATCAGCAGCTGCAAAAATAAACTAAAAGCTTAACTAAACAGTTTTCTATATAGTATTTGCCTAATCAACAATGAAATGCTAACAATAACCCGTGAGACAATAGGCCGGCGGTATTTGTAGACTCTGGACTCGCTTTGGATCTCCGGCTGAATTGCAATTGTCAGATGTCACGGAGGGATTAAGTTCCCCCTCTTCGCCGCCCCTGTCCAATTAGACGGTGACTCAAACTCCCGTAGTCTGTGATTGAGAACTACTGCAACAGCAGCCAAACCATCAGAATCAGCCACTTTGGCTCTGGTTCAATGTCACGTAATCGCTGCAAGTCCTCCCCGGAGGGTCACCCCCTCCGTCGTCACCCAGCCCACTCCGCCACGCCCTCTCCCACCTCTCAGTTTGCCGCCTCTTTATGTTAATTTATGTGCTGGCAAAATGTGCAAGCGCCTCTAATGCTCAGCCACGCATGGCGCAAACCCAAAATCAGAAATAAATTACAGAAGGCAGTCGACGGCAGAGGCAGTTGCTCATAGTCAGCACAAACTGGGGAATTAACAGGGAGCAATCTCACAAAGACGGTTATGCGAAATGGAATCGGAGTAGCCAAAAAGAAGGCATAATTATCATTCTGGAGGAATATTCTTAAGAGTCAGATATCCATATATATTGTTTTTTAGAGTGCGAATCAGAATCAAAAAATTATCAGCTTATTATTTTTTAATTGCTCTGATTGTTTTAGATAAATCCAATTGTGGGTTAAAATTGTTCTTCGATTGAATATTTTTAATCACGGCTGTTATATTTTTATCAAACAAAATATAAAGGGGGAGTGTTAAGTATTGTAAAGTTTAAGGTATTTCGTGCAAAGATATTTTAACATTTTTTAATGTTCGATACACTTTGGATGATACTAAAAAAAATTAAATTAATTTTATTTGGTTGTTTTTTCAGTGTTTAACCTATTTGTTGAAATAATAATATTTTTAACTAAAATAACTTTAATTTTTATGTTACTTTTAAAATTGGAAACAACATTTCAGTAAAATAGTATAAATAATAAATTTTGACATATGGATGAAGTAATATTTAGATAGTATATGTAAATAATAGTGTTAGTGCTACTTAAACCAAAACTGACTTGCAATACACGACTTTAACAAACGTGTAAACATTAAAACGCACAGTATAATTGTATATTATAATGAAATCCCGTACATTACTCAAATACTCAGCTGGCAG